CTTCTTTTCCATGGGTGCAGATGATGATGATGTCATCAATGTAGCGCAAGTAGAGTAGGGGCATTGGGGGATGAGAGCTGAGGAAGCATTGTTCTAAGTCAGCCATAAAAATGTTGGCATACTGTGGGGCCATGCGGGTACCCATAGCAGTGCCGCTGATTTGAAGGTCTCCATTGTCCCCAAATGTGAAAAAGTTATGGATGAGGACAAAGTCACAAAGTTCAGCCACCAGGTTTGCCGTGACATTATCGGGGATAGTGTTCTTGACGGCTTGTAGTCCATCTTTGTATGGAATGTTGGTGTAGAGGGCTTCTACATCCATACTGGCCAGGATGGTGTTTTTAGGAAGATCACCGGTGGATTGTAGTTTCCTCAGGAAGTCAGTGGTGTCTCGAAAATAGCTGGGAGTGCTGGTAGCGTAGGGCCTGAGGAGGGAGTCTACATAGCCAGACAATCCTGCTGTCAGGGTGCCAATGCCTGAGATGTTGGGACGTCGAGGATTTCCAGGTTTGTGGATCTTGGGTAGCAGATAGAATACCCCTGCTCGGGGCTCTAGGGGTGTGTCTGTGTGGATTTGTTCTTGTGCAGAACTCTGGTTGCAGAACATTTGTTCTTGAGTTTCTTGAGCAGATGGTGTAGTTTCTTTTGGTAATCCTCAGTGGAGTCAGAGGGTAATGGCCTGTAGAATGTGATGTCAGAGAGTTGTCTAGCAGCTTCTTGTTCATATTCCGACCTATTCATGATGACGACAGCACCTCCTTTGTCAGCCTTTTTGATTATGATGTCAGAGCTGTTTCTGAGGCTGTGGATGGCATTGTGTTCTGCACGGCTGAGGTTATGGGGCACATTTTCACAATTTCAGCCCATGCACGTTTCAGCCGAAGCACTAGTCCAACCCCCTGCTCAAAGCAGGACCAATCCCCAATTTGGCCCCCTCAAGGATTGAACTCAGAACCCTGGGTTTACCAGGCCAACGCTCAAACCACTGAGCTATCCCTCCCCCATAAAGATGTTGCACCAGTCACCCTGGTCCACGTTTTCAAGCTTCCCCCTCCCCCATACGGGTTAGACCCCTGTTTGAGTAACAGCTGAGATCCCGATTCTGGGCGAGGGCTGGGCTTCTGAGTGCACAGCACCTGAGCCTTGGGCAGGAATCTGCTGCTTCTGGCTTGGAGCTAGGCAGAGTCCTGTGCCTCTCAGTGTGCCAAGCCATTGGGCTGCAGCTGCCCACCCAGGGGAGGAGGAAATGGGCCCCGGTCGGATTCACTGTGCCATCTGAGCTGTGTGCCAGGCCAGCAGCCTCCCATCAGGTGAGCTAGCATACCACAGGAGATTCAGATGCAGGCACCGCTCCCCCTCTGCTCTCACTGCAGGCTGCAGAGTGCTCCCCTCACCCTCCTCCCACTGTTGGCATGCTGCGCTCCGCAGGCTGGCCTAGCCAGCCCTGCCCTGGGAGTCCAGAGCCGCCTGCCCGGGGCCAGGCCATGCAAGACAGGATTAAGGAAGGAAGGGGTCGGGGCTGGGAACCTGGAATCCCTTGTGCTAGCTGCCAGTGGAGATGCTAACCCCTGGGGGACGGAGCTCCTTTTGTGTCTGGCACTGGGCTGGGGGACAAGTTAACCCCTCTGGACTGCAGCTCCAGGGACTTGGGCCTGGCTTTACGCTGCGCTGCTATCCCATGTGTTTCTGAGCTTTGGCACGAGGAGGAAGTGGGCTCCACTCATTTCTTGCTGAGCCTTCCCTTGGGCCCCCACCCAGCCTCTCCCCATGCTGTGGAGGGTCCTGGCTTGGAGCCCTTTACAGACAATTGCAAGCAAAATGGCAAAGCCAGTCCTGCCTCGGCTGGCTCCCTCTCACCCGATTTCTCTTGCTAGATCCACGAGACCATTGAGTCCATTAACCAGCTGAAGACACAGCGAGATTTCATGCTGAGCTTCAGTAACAACCCGCAGGACTTCATTCAGGAATGGATCAAATCCCAGAGGAGGGACCTCAAGGTAAAGCTGGGGCTGCACTGGAGAGACGAGCTGCTGCTGAGCAGGGGCTGGGGCATGGCATTACCCTGCAGGGTAATGCAGTAACAGCCCCCTGCAGCATAACCACACCGGCATGGGGCCCACGCTGCAGTGCAGTATCCAGCCCAGAAGCCATGGGGCATCTCCCCTCTGGAGCAGGCTCTGCCATGGTGCTTGCCCTGCCCCGCGGGACGTGTGATCATGCTGGCAGGGGCGGGGTGTCCAGGAAGCCTGCTGTGGGTCCTGGGATGGCAGCAGCTGCCCGTAAGCCCAGCAGTCTGTGTCCCCCTGACCATTCCCTCCTCCCCATGTGGTGCTGCAGATCATAACGGACGTGATTGGGAACCCCGAAGAGGAGAGACGAGCTGACTTCTACCATCAGCCCTGGGCACAGGAGGCTGCGGGGAGGCACATCTTTGCCAAGGTGTGGATTCTTGCCATGCGGACCAGGCTGCCTGGGCTTGGCCCCTTAGCTGTTACCAGCATCCCTGCCACCCTCTCCTCCCTGCCCTAGCCAATGCTAGAGGGGTGGGCAGAGCCCCATGTTCCATGGCCCAGTCACGCTGTGCCTTTTCCTGTGAGCACGGGGTTCGAACTAGAACCGGCCCTCCCCTGAAGCTGAGCCAGGTCTGGGATGTCCAGCTGGGAACTGGGCTGTTTCTGAAGGATCAGTGCTCAGCCCCTTCTTGCACCTCAGCCCCTCCCCTTTCCTGACCAGATTTGGTCCTTCCCACCCCCACTCTAGAGCTCTGTCCCTGCCCTTCTGCAGGCCTTCCTAGTCAGCAGTGAACCTGACAAGACCCTGGTCAATTTCACTGGGTGGGCATGAAACTGACCCAGCCCTGTGGGTTTCACTCACAGCTGCCCAGGGAGGGGACAAAGTACTGGAGTCCTCCCCCCGAGGAAGGACTCAAGGGTAACGAGCTATGGGAGGCCTAGAATAGGTAAGATCTGCCCCACAGCATGCTGTGGGAATGGACTGCAGCCAGGGACAGAGCAGCAAGCATGGGGGGGCATCAGGCCTGCTGTCTAAAATCCTGAGCGGAATCAGGAAATGTACCTCCCCTGTCGTGGCTCAGTCGCCCATCGGCTTGGTGCTGTGAGGCTCTTGAGTGGCAGCTGAGCTCCAGTGAGACACTCCAAAGTGGAGAACGCCTCTGAGGGGCAAGAGAGCTTGTGCCCATCCAACGCTCCCCCAGCCAGCCCTGCCTTTCTCCTGGGCGAGCTTCGGCAGGTCCCAGAGCCCGCCTGACCTCCTGCCTCTTGTGCCTTTCAGGTTCAGCAGCGCAGACAGGAACTGGAACAAGTGCTTGGGATTCGCCTCACCTAACGGGCTGGGCACAGCTCAGGAGCTTTGTTCTCTCCTCTGAGAGAGTGCCTGAGCCTTACGGTACATCTTACTGGAATCAAATACAGCACTTGCACAAAGCCTGTGTGCCCAGGGGCTCCGAGGCACTAGCATCCCCAGGGGCTCCCAACCCTGTGGCTTCTCTGGGTCAGGGAGCTCTAGCCAAAGGCATGGGTCACATGGTAACCTGTGCAGCCTCTGCCCTGTCCCTGCCACTCTCATTCTGGCTCCTTTATTGCATTACTGGCCTAGCTTGCTGCCTTCGCCTCTCCCCAGTGTTCATTGCAGGCTCGGAGCTCCGCCCTCCCCTTCCTGCCTGGGCCTGAGCCTTGGCGGAGTAGCTGACCAGAGGGTATGAGCTCTCCCTGAGCTGGAGCCAAGGGGCCACCGAGGCCCTTCTTCATGCTGAGCGATGTGGCCAGAGCATCGCAACAGCTGCATGGGCTCCTGAGCTTCAGCACTGGGAGGACAAGGGCTTCGCCTGCTTCCTGCTGAGCTGTGCCAGCCTCCCCCCTACATGGGGAAGGGCAGGCAGCTGCTGGCACTTTTAAAACCAAAGCTTCGTCCATTCCAAAGGCCGGCCGAGCTGGCGGCGTTTTGCACTATCTGTTTTTGTGAGCAGGGTTTATAAAAGGAAGCCTTTTGTACAGTGGGTTTGTATTTGATTAATAATAAGGTTTCCCGCTAGTCCTGCACTTGCCTAAACCTATGCAATGGATTCACTCTGCTCCTGGGCAGCTGAGCTTAGTCAGAGTCTCTGACAATCAACTGAATGTTCCATCCTCCCTTTTCTTTCACATACAGCGGGGTGGGGGGCTTCTCTCTCAAGGGAGCCAGGGCAGGAAGAGCATGCTGCGCCTACTGGCTGCAGACACCCTGACACAAGGTAGTGCCCACAGGACTAGACCCAGCATCTGTGACACCAGGAGCTGGGCATTCCCATGTGCCTTAGCCCCAGCCATCCCTGGCCCAAGGGAACAGGGGCTGTTTCCTGGGGGGCAGAGCAGCCTTGCAGTTATGGCGCATGGTAGAATTAGGCAGGGTGTTTACAGACATGCAGGCTGTGGCTGCCTGCTCTTGCTGTTGTAACCATTTTGTCTGGGTTAGATATTTTCTAATAAAAACATTTAGGAACAGCTTGTGCCAGTGTCTCCTTCCTCACCACCTGCTGAGCAGATGGGAGCCTAGTGCCCCTGCTGTGCCAAGCCTTCCCTAGGGTAACCAGAGGGGGGAGGAGACCCTGGCTGCAGACAGGAGCTCAAAGGCCTAGGGAGTAACAGGGTCAATACTTCCCTCCTTCCCCAAGGGCCCATCCCTGCTCTGTAAGCAGGCCAAAGTCCAGTCCTGCCCCTCAGGGATGGGAGGAGCCCATCTCACTGCAGAGCAGTTACTGAGCACCAGCCTGGGCTTTAGCTGTTCAAGGCAGGGCAAGAGCAGACTGCACCAAGCCAGGGCCAGTCACTGTGTCCCCTTTGCCACATGGAAACCCCCTAGTGTTTAGCCTGCTGGCTGGGCTCTAGGCTTCTTGATCTGTAACCTAAGGGGGAGAGAGGGTTCCCAGCTGCTGGCAGGCACAGAGGCTGCTTTCCCCTGGTCATATCCCTCCCTCCAACAGCCAGAGTCTGAGGGGAAGTAACTCAGCCAGCACAGAGCTTTATTAGAGAAAAGGTGAGGGGGCCAGTACCCAGCACACAGGGTTCAGGCCCCCAGTTACTTCCAGAGCTTCTTGATCGACATGTTCTTCTCGCTGTCCTTCTGCATCACCTGCAGGGGGGAGGAGAAAGTTAAGTATTAGGCCCTGCATCCAGCACTCAGACCTTGAGTGAAGTCACCTGCATGCGTCCTCAGTCACTGTCCTGAGGCAGGAACCAGGCTAGGCCCCAGGAGCCTGCCTGGCAAGGTTTCTGCCTAGTACCCCCTGCGGGCAGGGGCAGGGCACCATAGCACTGCACTGCCTAGGACACAGCCCCCTTGGCATTCACCAAAGGCAGGGCAATGACAGTAGCAGTAAAAGCCCATCCCCCAAAGTGCACAGAAGCCAAGACTCAGGGAAGGAATCAGCTACTGGGGAGCACATTGCCCCAGCACAGCTGCAAAGGCCAGGCTGCCCCCCACCCTACAGCAGCAGGGTCTCTGTGCATAAGGGAGGCCCCAGGGGTTGCCCCTAAAGCCAGTTAACTCCCCTCTCAGCTGCTCTCACTTAACACTGAGCAACTCAGCCACAGGCTGATCCCTTCTTGAGCAGCCAGCAACAGAACTGGGAGCCCAGGATCTGCCAGAGGGAGCAGCTTAGGACACTGCCAGCACCTGGCCCAAAGCTGCAGAGGAAGGTGGGAGAAGCAGAGCCAGGGCAGGTGGCAGGAGGGTTTCAGCCTTTCCACGCTGATTTTACCACTTGAGTCATGCTGGTACCTGTGGAACTCATGGCCAAAGGGGCATGGGGTAAAAGTTCCTCACAGGGTTTTATTGTGGGCCCTTGTTTTGGCCACATGGGGACAAGCGCATCAGCAGCCCTCCATCTACCTTTGGGGGACCCCTCATTTCTTTGCATTCCTTAAGCCTCTTTCCCCACACCTCTCTTTCGGGGTGTCCCACTTCTCCAGCAGGGGGCTGACTGGGCTGGCAGGCTAGCCATTGCCAGCTGGACCAGGGGCACGGCCAGCAGCGCTGAAGGAACGGAAGAGCCTGCAATTGGTCCCTTAAAGTGACTGGCGCTCTGAAGCCACCTCCCCCACCCGCTGCTGGGGCAGAGCAAGGGGGATTTTACCTTGGCTACAGCCATTTCAAAATCTTCCTGTGTAACATGCACCCTCCGCTCCCTCAGGGCGTACATGCCGGCTTCCGTGCACACCCCCTGCAAGGGACCAAGAGCAAGGAAGAACAGTCACTCCCCTTTCTGCACAGTGTCCCATCCCCCGCCGCCCGGACACACCCGCCTAGCCACACACTGCAGCCATCTTCTCACACGGGGAGAGCAGTTCCCTGGTAGAGGGGCAGCGTGTGACGGAGGAGTCCTGTATGTCTCCTGCCAGTCTGCATCCCTCCAGGGGAACACAGTGAGCTCAGCACTTCCTGAGAGGGCCCCAGCCTGCCCCAGGAACATGCAAGGAGCAGGCACATGGCAGCTCAATGGAAGCCTGTCCTGGCTCAAAACACACTCCAGAGCCCCGGGCTCCAGCCAGAGCTAATCAGGGGCAGCTGCTCCCTGTCCCACATGCTGCCCCTGCACCAGTCTGTAGAGGTCCAGGCCCAGCTACTCACCTTCACCTCGGCCCCAGACGCTCCTGGCATCAGCTCCGCAATTTTACGCAGATTTATCCCCCGTGTCAGGTTCATTTTCCGAGAGTGGATCTTGAGAATGTCTAGGCGAGCCTGCGCGGAGAGCCCCAGCAAGGGGGGTAAGAGCCTAGGCGAGCCTGCGCGGAGAGCCCCAGCAAGGGGGGTGAGGGACAAGAAGGGGGTCCAGCACCTGAGCGGTCGGCCAGGGCAAGGAACTGCCAGCACAGTGAGAACACCTGTGCGTCTAGGCTGGGACTCAGACCCTTTCAGCGCCATGACACTACAGAAGCAGAGTTCAACCCTTTGTCCCTGGCCCACAGGCGAATGCACACTGGGGATGGGGGGATGCCCTGCTGATAAATAGCACTGGGAACACAGAGAATGCGCACCCAGGCCTGGGAGCCTGCAAGGGGCCTGCCACAGGGGAACGCCCCCATTACCTCTTCATTTGGAGGAGGGAACTCGATCTTCCTGTCGATGCGGCCTGGGCGCAGCAGAGCAGAGTCCAGGATGTCTATCCGGTTAGTGGCCATGATCACCTGTAGGGGAGGAGGCTGTCACTGTGTAAAGGAGCTGGGGTTTTATCCCGCAGTGAGGGGCAAGTGCCCCTCCCGCGGGGGCTCTGGGTGCCAGCCAAGCCACCTGGCTTCAGCTCCCAGCTCAGAAACGGGGCAGCTGATTCCCCTCTTACCCTGAGCATGTGGGAGGGGCGCCGGCCTAGCCCTGTGGGGGAGACTCGCAGTGGGGCCGAGAAGTGGCCAGGAGGCCAGGGTCATGCTAGGCTCTACGCACCTTAATGTTCTTAGTGGCTTCGAAGCCATCGAGCTGGTTGAGCAGCTCCAGCATGGTGCGCTGCACTTCGCTGTCCCCCCCGGAGCCGCCCTCCAAGCGTGAGGAGCCGATGGAGTCGATCTCATCCATGAAGATAATGGAGGGAGCGTGTTCCCTGGCCATCACAAAGAGCTCCCGCACCATGCGAGCGCCTGAGAGCAAAGCAGAGGGGCCCCTGAACGCCCTGCCATAGGACAGCGCACGGCCCACCACAGCTCTGCAGCCCCAGGGCTGCGCCCCGGCCCCGCACTCACTGCAGGGATGGAGAGTTCCTTCAATGCGCTGGTCAGCGCAGCCCCAGGGGCTGGGACCATGGCGCCCCCGAGGGTAGGAGCCTGGTCACAGGCCTAGCCTGAGGAGTGCTCCTCTTCAGCACTGGGAACCCGGAGACCAGGCCCGGCCCTCCGGACTTGGTTCCTGCGGGCACGGACAAGAGGCATTCAGCGCAGGGCTTGGCTGCGGGCCATGAAAACAGGAGGGACTGATTTAAATCACTGATAGCAATCTTGGTTTGTGTTTGTCCTGTAGCTATTTCCCTGCATCCAGGTTCATGCTCATTGGCTGGTATAACCATTACACAGCGTTGCCTGGCCAACCCATACCACCTTCCCTCGGCGCTTGGTGCTGCTTTCTGCCAGCCAGGCCAACACACGAGCTCGCGGCATGTTTTGTTTTCAGATTCTTGACTGTCACACTTTATGATGTTCAAAAATGGGAAACAATTCAGTTATTTACTAGCTAATTCTTTGACTTGGGATTGGGGTCAAGCTGTATTTGGCTGGAAACTGGATTTTGATTAAATCTACAAAATCAGCATTTTAAAACTGTTTCAGTTCAATAAACCTAAATCAGATGTGCTGGAAAAAACATTCAGGTTGTCAAATGTGATTTGCATTTAAAACAGCTTGATTTATTACACAAAGGAAGCATTCACTGTAATGGGTGCACTGAGATACCTACAGCTTCCCTGCATCTTTAGGTGCCTGAACCCCTTTGGCAATCTGGCCCCACATCCTTCAAGGTTTTAGTTAGCAGAGCTCATCCTCCCACACCTGCCTGTTATTCACAGACGGGAAGGGGAAACAAGCTTCAAGCTTCCAACTCCCAGCTGCTTTCTCAATTTGGAATGAGCTAGTCCAGATGAAGGATTCTTTGCACCTGTTAGCTAATCTGAACCCCAAAAGCGTCTCTGCTCCCCCAGACACTGAAAATACCGACTCTTGGAAAGATGTAAATAACCAGCCTTCGCTCCATTGTAAGGACTGATAGTAAGATGGGGTAACATGACATTGGGACCTTTTGAAAGCTCATGGCACATTGGTTATTTAAATGTTAATAATTACACTCTTAGGCTTGAACACAGGCCAGAATAATTTCAACTTGAATTTTATAATTTCGTGTTATTTTTAAAGAGAAAAATGTATTTAATTACAGCACCTACTCCCATTTTGTAGGGTTTTTTGTAACCATTGATTTTTATCCCCCCTGGGCCCAGCTCTTCAGAACAGGAACACCGGCCCCACAGCCACAGCTGTGAGGGGGGCCACATCGCCCCCCTGCCCTGCTACCAGGCTTCGCAGAGGGACAGCTTGGGAATGGGGGGTTGAACTCATGTGTCTCCATCCTACCCCCCACCCCATCGTGTTCCCACATCCACACTTACCCTCGCCAATAAACTTCTGCACCAGCTCAGAGCCCGAGACTCGGATGAAGGTGCAGTCAGTGTGATGAGCCACGGCCCTGGCAAGCAGGGTCTTCCCGGTGCCGGGAGGTCCGTACAGCAGCACCCCCTGCAACGGCCAGTGTAGTGTCATTAGCTGAGGGTGCTCAGTGCAGGAGCTACACTGCATAGCCTGGCACAGACATGGGCATTTGGTGCCACCTAGTGGGCAATTTACCCATAAATCCCATCCACGTCCCAGCAGGAGAGGGGGCCCCAACGATCCGACCAGGGCCACACGTCCTGGGTGCAGCAGGGAGTGGAACGCAGCTGCCAGAGTCACGCCCAGTGCTGCCAGAAGGGGGAGAGCCTGGCTTTGGACAGGTGGGGACGGACCAGGCCTGCGGTGCCCTCGGGGATTCGCGCCATGGGGGGCTGCTCAAGCTCTGCCTCCTCCAGCAAGGGGCGCTGCATTCCCTAAGGATCACCCCCTCCTCCACATGGGCGAGGAGCTGCCATCCCCTGGGAAGGGCTGAGGCTAGAGGAGACTCGCACCCACTCTTGGCCCTGGCCCTGCTGCAGCTGCCAGCAGGGAGCTGTGCTGGGCTCTGGCAGGGTAAAGGGTCTTGTTACAGCTGCTTTCCACTGGGAGCATCTACGTCCTTCGAGTAGCCACCCCTCTCCCCAGCTAGCATTGCAGGGGGGTGCTGCCAGTGGGTGCACAGGGGCTGAGTGCTGGGCTTCTCCTTTGGCAGGCACTGGGATCCCACCCACTCAGTGACTGGTACGTGAGTGGTTCCCTGCTCCCTCCTCCCACACGGCCAGAGAACCAGAGCAAGTCACGGGAGAGTGGGAGCAAGAGGTGGTGAACAGCACCAGCTGCTCCGTCGTCCCCATTACTGGGAGCTGGTAATGAATCTCCATGGGGTGGCGGGAACCATCCAGGGAAGGTAGAGGGCTCCCTTCTCCGTGCCAACCTAGCCCAGAAGCCCGACAGGGCACGTGTGCAGAGCACCAGCACCCAGCAATGCAGAGCTATTTTCTGCTCAGTTCTGAGCAGCAGATCTGAGATGCCCACGTCTGGCAGAGCCCCCTCCCCGCGGCAGTGCACAGCTGGCTGAGCGCGATCTGCACATGCTGGGAGTCCTGCCCCAAGAGCACTTGCCTTGGGCTGGGCGATCCCCAGGGCCTCGAAGAGCTCCGGGTGTTTGACGGGCAGCTCGATTACTTCCTTGATCTCCTTGATCTGCTTGTCCAAGCCACCAATCATCTCGTAGGTGGAGTCCGGGACCTTCTCCACCATCATCAGGGACACCAGCGGGTCCACTTTGTTGGGCAGGATTTTGTGGAGCGTGTAGCTGTCGTTCCTCAGCGCCACGCGGCAGTTCGGGGTCACCTTTGGAGACAGACGGGTAGGAACTCACCGTGTGGCCTCCACTCACCTTCAGCACCAGCTGGCGGGAGCTGCCGCACTCGCAGTGCCCTAGCCTATGCACCCAGCTTGGGCACCTCCCCAGCAAGAGCTGGGACTTGGGGCAGCTCCTGGGGCAGGGCCCACGGAACCCCCTGGGCGGGGCAGCAGCAGCTGGTAAGAAGGGAGCATCACCCTCTGCTGCCCCCAGCAGGCTGGCAAAGACAGGCACAAGGGAAGGCAGCTGCTGCCAAGCTGCCTCCCTCTGCCCCCAGCACTGAACGCGCTGCTCCGAGGGCTGGGTTCACCAAGGGGTCTGATACTCACATCATTGATGTCAATGTTTTTATCAACATCCACCACAAACTTTCCTTCTGGGTGAACCTGGAACAGAGAGAGCAGAGACCTGTGGGGTGGGGCTGGGGAAGCACACGCAGCTCTCCCCCTGTCCTGCCCCAGTGTGCGCGCACAGGCCTCCTCCCTGCCCCAGTGCGTGTGTACACACCTCCTCCTGCCCAGCCCATGTGCAGGCTTCCCCCCCAGCAGGCGTGCACAGCCCCCCCGCCCCACTCATCCCCAACAGGCGTGCACAGCTCCCACAAACCTCCCAGTCAGCGCAGGAGAGCCAAGGCCCTGGGGCAGGTCCCACAGGGGCCAGGACTCTGTGCGTCACTCAGTAACTGGCCCCCACACAGGTGGGTCTCGCTGCACAAGCAGAGTCTAAGCAGTCAGTTCTCGGGGCTGGGGCAGTCGCCCTGAATGGGCCCCTAGTGACCCCCTGGTGGTCTCCTGGGCCCAGCCCTGCTTCATTTTGAACACCACTGAGGGCCAGGCACATCAGGGTCCACATAGTCCTGCTCTTGAGGGCAGCAAGGCACAGCCTGTCCAGGGAGCGCCCCAGGTGTTCGGGCGAGGGTGGGGGGGGGAAGAGCCCAGCAAGGTCCCCAGGGGCTTGGGGAGGGGCTGCTCCGGCTCAAGCCTTTTCTAATACCCCGTCCTGCCCGCTGGGCCTCCTGCTCCTGGGAGACGGTTCCCCAGCCCAGCAGAACATGCTGGTAACCAACTTCTCCGCAGAGCCAGCCCCTTAGATTTAGCCCGTCCTTCCTAGTAACAGCTCCCCAGGACATCTTGAATGACTCTCCTTCCCCTCGGAGGGAGCGCCTGCCACCAGGTCTAGCACCCTTTCCTCTGGGGCCACTCCTCGGCGCTGGGAGGGGGACAGGTGGCTCCTTGCTGCCACATGGATTTGCAGTGTGCTGGCAGCCCTAGGGCAGTTCACTCTCCCCCTGGCCTGCTCCAGGGCAGTCCCCTGGGGCGCACGGCTGGGGCTCCTGTTCCCAGGCTCATTTGGGGAGTGAGCCCACCAGCAGCCTGGGAAGGCCAGGAGAGCTACGGTCCCCAGTCAGGGAGCAGAGCAGCGCTGCCCTGAGCTCATGAGCCTGGCCACCCACCCACGAACCCCCATGCAGTGCCATCGAGGCCCTCAGCCAGCAGCTGGCACTGCTCGGCCCTGGGAAGCAGCACCCCAGCTCCATACCTTGACAAGCACCTTCTTCTTATCCATGGCCCTCACCACCTCACCGACGTAGGAGCCCTGCTCCTGCAGCAGCTGCAGCTCCTCCCGCAGCAGGCGCACTGTAGCGCAACAAGGAGACGTCAGCCCTGCCTGGCCACCAAGGAGCAAAGAGGCCAGCAGCTGTTCACAGGGCCCCCGCTCAGGGCCCAAGCATAAAGGGCATTTCCAGGGCAGGGGTAACCAGCCACTTCCATTAACTCAGAGGGGGCAGGTGCTGCTAACTTCCCACATGCCCCACCCCTTGGGGACACAGCAGCCATGCTCCGGAGTCAGCGCCGGCCTCCTTCTCAGGCAGGAAATAACAGCTAGCACCCTGCCTTTGTATCCCCGGGAGAGCGCGCTTGGGAAACGGGCTGTCCACCTTTCCCGGTGGCGTGGAAATGAAGAGGCTGTGACCACCAGGAACACAAGAGATCACCCAGCCAGTGAGATTTGCGTCCCTCCCTGGCAGAACATGGAACAATCCAACCCTCCCTGCAGGAGGCTGCTCTCATGGTACGCTCTGGCCACCTTTCGCATCCCACCCACCAGGCCGACCCCCTGGCTGGGATGCAGAAAACTTTCTAGTTTTCAAAGCACCAATTCGGGGGGGCCGAGCGCGGAGACCGCGGACGAGGCCGGGGAAGGCCAGTGGGAGCCCTACCTTTGGCGTTCAGCTCGTTCCTCTGTGCTTGCAGGCGGCGGAGATTCTGGCTCTTTTCATTCACAATGAGCTTTGGGGAGAGAGGGAGAAGGGATAAGCCCACACGAGCCCAGGGGTCCCCCCTGCACAACCGCCCCCACCACAGCACCTCAGCTCAGAGTCGACTCGCTCCTGAACACAGGCTAACTGCCAGTCTAGCAGCTAGGAAGTGCCCATGTGTATCCGGTTGGCAATCCTCTCTAGCGTCTCCAGTGTGAACAGCTCGGGAAAGCAGCCCGGCACTGGAAGGGGAGGGGACCCAGCTGTGAGCGTCTCTTACCACGTGGTCTGCACCCAAACCCTGGCTAATGGCCTCCCCTCTCCGTCAGGAACAAGGAACGTTATGAAGGGGTTTGCTGGTCACTTTGTCCCTGCCATAGGAGTGGGGGTACCACCACCAACCTCAACACCCTGAAACCTGGGCAAGGGGCCTCTGCCTAGACAAATTGCTGCTGTGACGCCCTCTCCCCCAATCTGTTATCAGACAGGCGCCACTCTGCTCCGAGGAACAACAGTCAAAACGGCCCCTTTTAGCCCTGCAGACCTGCCTTCTGCAGAGTCAGGCCAGCTGGCTTTGGAGATGCCTGCCACTGACAGCTAGCAACACTGCTCTAGGAAGGCCCCACATCTGCCTACTAGTTCCTGGGTCCCAGCCTACACCTCCTGCTGGGAGCCTCTGAGGCCCCAGCCCTACTGACAGAGATGCTGTCACAGAACATGGACTAGAATCGCTTGGAAGAGGCTGCTGGTTCCCTCGGAGGTCCTGTGAGAAGAACTGCCCAGCAGAGATGGTAGTACCCCTGCCGCAATCCAGAATGCGCATCCTCAGCACCATCAGACTAGTACCCCTCCGGCCACCCACTTAGAAGAAACGGTGCCCCAGCCCAGACCCCACTCTCTGTGATCAGAGAGCCCCCACCATGCAGCTCACCTGCAGCTCCTCAATTTTGGACAGGTAGTACTGGCGGAGACCCGTCCCCCCTTTGCCTTCATCCATCTCCATCTGCAGAGAGAGCACACATCAGGACACGTCCATCAGCCCAGGGAAGCCCCTCGGCGCCGAAGGGGAGGTGCTGCTCATTCTCTAGAGGAGCAGAGGCTGGGTGGCGACAGGCGGACCCTTCCAATAAGGGTGCCGTCCACAGGTCTGGCAGAACAGCCCCCTGAGCTGGCTGCCAGCTATAAACCAACCCAGAGCCTCTGCCTCTGCTCTCAGAGCCACAGCCTGGCTGGAGCTTGGGACACCGCAAAGGCTTGATCTGAGGTGAAGGAGGCCCCAGGGCTCCCCAGAGACCCTCTGATCGGGTGGGGAGCATCCAAATGGCTCTCCAGGGGCAGCTTCCGGCGCAGGCAGGTTCAGCCCGTTCCACAGGCCCCTTCCAAAGGGTAGGAGGCAGCCCCAGAGTAACTAACATCTGCAGCCACCAGGCTCCAAGGAGACCCAGGTACACAAGGCTGGTGCAGGCCGGGGCTCTGGTCGCTTCCGTGGAGTTCCCCAAACTCTCAGGGGACCCGGCTGCTCCAATCACAGGCAAAGAATCCAAAGAGGACAGGAGCTGGTGGGTGGGAGAACCTGCGTGGCCAGCCTGGTGCTCCAGCCCCACCGCCCGGGAGGCATCCCTGGCAGCAGGCACGGAGATCCAGGGCAGCCCACCCAAGGGGGCTGGACCCCACTGGTGAGGGAGGAACCCTTTCTCCCTTGGTTCTGCAGGAGCATCTGCAACAAACCCTGCCCCCATCCCTCCTCTTCCTCCCCCGCCCACCACTCCGCTCCCCCTCCCCCCTCCCCCTCCCCCTTCCCCTCCCCCTCCTTCCCCTCCCCCGCCCCCTCCTATCCCTCTTCCTCCCGCCCGCCCTTCCCCACTCCCCCCAATCACCGACCCCCTCGCCTCCTCCCGGCCCCCATCCCAGCCCCGGCCTGACTCAGCAGAACCGGGTCCCCAGCTCCACGGAGCTGGCCCCCAGGGTAGGACAAGCCCCCACGGCCCCTTCCTCCCGGCCGCTCCCTCAGCCCCCTGGGGTCTCTCACCTGCTCCGGCCCGTCCACCGCCATCTTCTCCGACGGCATCTGAGCGCCGTGATCAGGTCAGGGAACTGACGCGTACTGCGCAGGCGTAGAGAGACAGGCGGAGCTATCTGCCCACATCCAAGATGGCCGCCGCCTCGACCCTTTCCCAGTGCGCACGCGCAAGAAGAGCGTAGTCGTCATTTCCTTTCTCTGACTATGACCACTCAAAACACTCAAGTCGCTTCCGGGCTCAAATGACCACACCTAAGATGGCCGCCTCCACCCGTCCTTAGACGCCATCTTGGTAGGGTCTCTCTAGTAATCTTCGGTCTTGTAGGGAGAAGGGGAACCCCCTGATGTGAATGTTCCCCTCAGTCCTCCCTGTGTGCCATGTTCCACTGCCTGCCCAGCTCCGCCGGGCGGCCTCAGTGCTTGGGCGCCACTCACAAGATGGCGGCTGGGCAGCGTCGTGAGGGAAACGGAAGTGACGGTGCGCGTGGGGCAGTGTGGGAAGTAGCGTGCCGCGTGCATGTGGCGCGCAAACTGCCCGCACCGCCAGCCGGGTCGGGGTGGGGGTGAGTCGGGATCGGGCTGTGACCCTGTGTCCGCGAGCAGCGCAGCGTCCCCCAGCGCCGGGGCAGTAGTGGGGGGGGAGGTGCAGGGATTTGCTGGGGTGGGGGGGTTTGCGGGGGTGGGTGCGGGGACACGGGGAGGTTTGCTGGGGTGGGGGGATTTGGGGGGAGGTGCGGGGGGTTTTGGGGGGGATTTGCGGGGAGGTGCGGGGAGGTTTGCTGGGGTGGGGGGATTTGCGGGGGAGGTGCGGGGACACGGGGAGGTTTGCTGGGGTGGGGGGATTTGTGGGGGAGGTGCGGGGACACGGGGAGGTTTGCTGGGGTGGGGGGATTTGCGGGGGTGGGTGCGGGGACACGGGGAGGTTTGCTGGGGTGGGGGGATTTGCGGGGTGGGTGCGGGGACACGGGGAGGTTTGCTGGGGTGGGGGGATTTGCGGGGAGGTGCGGGGACACGGGGAGGTTTGCTGGGGTGGGGGGATTTGTGGGGGGAGGTGCGGGGACACGGGGAGGTTTGCTGGGGTGGGGGGATTTCCGGGGTGGGGTGCGGGGACACGGGGAGGTTTGCTGGGGTGGGGGGATTTGCGGGGGTGGGGGAGGGGAGGTTTGCTGGGGTGGGGGGATTTGCGGGGTGGGTGCGGGGACACGGGGAGGTTTGCTGGGGTGGGGGGATTTGCAGGGTGGGTGCGGGGACACGGGGAGGTTTGCTGGGGTGCGGGGATTTGCGGGGTGGGTGCGGGGACACGGGGAGGTTTGCTGGGGTGGGGGGATTTCCGGGGGGTGGGTGCGGGGACACGGGGAGGTTTGCTGGGGTGGGAGGATTTGCGGGGGAGGTGCGGGGACACGGGGAGGTTTGCTGGGGTGGGGGGATTTGCGGGGGGGTGCGGGGAGGTTTGCTGGGGTGGGGGGATTTGCGGGGGGGTGCGGGGATACCGGGGAGGTTTGCTAGGGGTGCAGGGACACGGGGAGTTTTGCTAGGGGTGGGGGGATTTGCGGGGGGAGTGCGGAGACCCGGGGAGGTTTGCTAGGGGTGGGGGAACTTGGGGGGATTTGGCTGGGGGTCTGATGGGTCCTAGCCCCACTCAGCTGCTACTCAGTGGGAGGCGGGTGGGTACGGGTTGCTTTGGAGCTTGGCGTCACAGTGTGGGGGGGGCCCATATCTAGCCATGTAGATTTTTTTTGCAGGGTGGGGGGACTAAATGCATCTAGAGGGTTGTCCTACTGTAGACAGCAGTGGGTTTGGAACTGCGGTACTGGTGGGGCAGCATGGGGATGTGGGGCCTTGGGTGGAGTCATGGGGTTACTCACTCCTTGATCTGTAGCAGTCTGGCTTGGAGAGCAGCTGCAGAGAATGGGATGGGAGAGACCTCCCTTCCCCCAGCCCAGTGTTGGGGTGAGTGACGTGCTCCCAGGGGTGTTCAGAGCCAATGAGGGACAATTTGGACTTTGGGTTCAACCTGCTGCCGCTTCCCCTCTCTCCACAGAAGGCGTGTGCACTGCTGCCTGTGACTGATTGTGGGGCTCCCCCGCCTGTCAAAGAGCGAGCAGAGACTCTGGGCCTAGCGAGCCTACGGGCTCCTTCACCCCCCTAGCATGGGCAAGAAGGGCAAAGTGGGGAAGAGCCGCCGGGACAAGTTCTACCGCCTGGCCAAGGAGACAGGTGAGCGGGGGCAAGGGTCAGTATCTGCTGAGTTCTGGGGGCATCTCTCCTGAGATGTGACTCTGCCCCTCAGCACTCACATCCTACCTCTGCTGGGCCACGACCTCCCACGCATGGCCCGGCCTGGGCTGTACTCCCTGCCATAAGTTGTTCTGTTTGTTTCCACACTTCCTGCCCTGCAGCGGCTGCTGGGGAGTTTGTGACAGGCACCAAGCAGCTGCAGAGTGCAGAGCTGGGACTCACCCAGATCCCTGAAAAGCTCTGACTGTCCCTCCCTTTAGGCTTTCGCTCACGGTCCTCGTTCAAGCTGATTCAGCTCAACCGGAAGTTCCAGTTCCTGCCGAAATCCCGCGCACTGCTGGACTTGTGTGCAGCCCCTGGCGGCTGGTGAGTGTCAGGGGCCACAGCTGCCCCGTCAGAACCCAGGGGACCCCCCTGCCCCCCGGCTCTTGGAACGGAGGCTGGCAGGTACCCCGGGGGCCCCTTGGTGACAGGAGGCAGGAATGTCCTGGCTGGCTTGGCAGAGCTCCAGCCCGCTCACTTACATTTTGGGAAGGCCCAGAGCCCATGTGCAGCCCTGTCTACTTCCTGGGCACCATCAGTGGCTAACAAACTGAGTCTTGGGGCAGAAGAGCAATTGTGCGGCGGACACGCACTGTCCAACATCCCCGCCCCCCCCGGGCTGGCAAACAGCCTTGTGGCCATGGCAGGCTGCTGCCAGGGGGCAATTCGTGGCACTCCAGGAGACGCCAGAGCTATCCTGTCCCAAACCCTGGGTGACTGTCCGGTAGTGGGCAGCTCCCAAGAGCAGGCAGTCGCTGGCAAGAGATCAGCGCCCAGGCCTGGAGCTGCTGCTGGTGCATTGCCTGTCCTTAGGGACCCCAGGGAGCTCTCCCTGCTCTGGCTCTGCCAGATGAGGTATCACAGGTGTCTCCCCATGAAAGATGAGGGTAGAGTCCTCCATGGCAACACATCTGTCCCCAGCCGAGGCAGCGTGGACTGGGCGGGGTTGCTGTGAGTCAGGGGAGCAGCTCCCTATGCTACCAGACCCTCCAGGCTGGACCCCCCACTATGCCCTCCACCCAGTCTCGGACCAGCCTGGAGTGTGGGTGACCCCAAACAGCCGTATCTGTGGGCTGCGTAGAGACTCATTGGGGTGCCAGACCCCAAGGGATGGTTGCGGAGCCCCACGCCTCTTGGGTTTCTCCTCTGTCAGAGTCAGTCCTGTAGGACTTGTTTCCTTTCCTGTGATGGGGGGCTGTGTGGGTCATTATGGGGGGCGAAGCAGGAAGCTGAGGCCTTACGCTGTCTCTGGCCCTCTCTCCTCTCCACAGGCTGCAGGTGGCCTCCAAGTTCATGCCAGTTTCGAGCCTCATTATTGGTGAGTGATGGGAGCGTGGGTCCGGGGGCAGGACAGGATGCCTGGGGGGCTGGGCCTAGGAGAGAAGGGGCAGTTGCTGAGGGGCTGGTTGGGAAGGACACTGTCCCTCCTGATGACTGGGGCGGATGCCACCCCTCATGGGAGTTGGGGGCTGTTGAGAACGGGGCAGCACCCCCGTTGGGGGAGGGGGTCCAGCAGATGCAGTCTCAGCAGTCTCTCTCTCCTAGGGGTGGATTTGGTCCCCATTAAGCCCATCCCCAACGTGGTGACGCTGCAGGAGGACATCACCACGGAGAAGTGTCACCAGGTAATTCCCACCCCACAACGCCTCCTGAACCCCAACAGCCGGATGCTTTAGCGCATCTCTCCTGGCCCTTTTTCTGGGGGAATTGGGGGCACCATGTCCACCCGCCCCCCAGAGGCGTCTCTGTGGTGGGATCCCTGAGCCACCAACCCTGGTTTCCCTTGGGGGGAGTGGCTCGGCCACTCAGTGCTGGTGCACAGATTCTGTAGGCAGGCGGGAGCGTTGGTCTTGGGGTGTTGGTGGAGAGGCCTGGCGTGGGGAGAGGGGCGGTGGGCTCACTGTGTGCCCTCGCCCCCTTCCCCCACTCTGCTGTAGGGAATGTGAGGGGGACTGTCCTGGCAGGGAGGGTGTCCCAGGCTCACCCCCTGCCCTCGCCCCCCAGGCCGTGCGCAAGGAACTGCAGACGTGGAAGGTGGACGTGGTGCTGAACGACGGGGCCCCCAATGTGGGGGCCAGCTGGGTGCATGATGCATATTCCCAAGGTACGTCCCCCACTCGCCTGGCAGCACTGGTCCCTGTGATAGCCAAGGGTTCAGCTCCATCCCTTGCACCCTGGAGCTGCAGCGCAGTCCCTGCGTCCAGCTTAGCAGTCCTGTGTCCCATCGCCCCTGTCCCCCAGTGCAGGAGCAAAGGGCCTGCTGGGGCCAGCCCAGTTACGAGGGATTGGGACCCTCTGGCTGTAGCCCGGCACTGTTGGTCGGATGCTCCAGTGCAGAGAGCGGCAGGAGGCCGGGGCCCCGTGGAAGTGTGAGACGCCCCAGGGGAGGGAAAGGAGCACGAGTTGCAGCGCCGGGCAAGTGTCTGTGGAGTTGTTTCCTCAACAGGCCCAGGGCTGAGTCCGGCCCTGCCCTATCCTTCCCCTCAGGTACCACAATGACAGGCACCGTGGGAACCAGAATCAAGCTGGATCCCACTGCCTAGCCACACTCCGGCCTGCTGCGCTTGGAGCCACTGAGAGCGAGGGCTCAATGGGGTTGGCTATGGCACTGACCCACCTCCATTCTCCACTCCAGCCAACCTGACGCTCATGGCCCTGAAGTTGGCCTGTGAATTCCTTTCCAAGGGTGGCTGGTTTATCACAAAAGTCTTCCGCTCCCGCGACTACCAGCCCCTCCTGTGGATCTTCCAGCAGTTTTTTCGCAAGGTGCAGGCCACCAAGCCACAGGCCTCCCGCAATGAGTCGGCCGAGATCTTCGTCGTCTGCCAGGGTGAGCTGGGGCCAGGGGTTGCTGGGTGGGAAGGGGGGAGTCACTGGCTGACATCTCTAATCCTTTCCTTTTCCCTCTCCCAGGATATCTGTCCCCAGATAAAATTGACAGCAAATTTTTTGATCCCAAATTTGCCTTCAAGGAAGTTGAGATTCAGGCCAAATCTGTGAGCGAGTTGGTGACCAAAAAGAAACCAAAGGTACAAGTGAGCAGTCCGGGGGGCTTGGCTGTGAGGGGAGGTCCTTTGGGTCAGAGAGAGTAGCCCCCATGGATGAGGAGAGGGGTGCACAGCTTAGAGTGGGGCCGGGGGAGGCTGTAGCACTTGGACCCTGCCGAGTGGAGCCTGCTGCTTACTTATCCCATCTGGCTAGTAATATATATGCTTGGCACTTCAAACGCACTAATTTCCCAATGCCGAGGAAAACTATGAGTGAAATTGCCTGGGAGGAAAAATGTAGACAGGCAAATGAATGAAAATTGGGAGCCCTTTTAGAGGGTGTGGCCAAAAAGCCATAATTCTACAGTCAAGAAAGAATTTTGTCTAAAATTCCATCCTGGTTCAGTGGTGAAGAGAAAGTGACAATTAGACATAAAAAAGCAATATATAACACATGGGGAAAAAAGGGGAAATGCATAGCAATGGATATGAATTCAAAGTTATGGAGGGTAGAAAATTGATAAGGGAAGCTAAAGAGATCAGGGTAAACTCCCTGGTTTGCAGAGCTAAGGACAATAAAGAGTTTAAGGATATTAGGAATAAAATAAATGCTAGTAATGGTATAGGCCTATTACACTCGGGGGAGATGGCAAAGTTATTAATATAGAAAAGGCAGAAAAGTGTTTAATGAATATTTGTGTATTCGGCAAGAAGCAGGATTATGTTATCGTATTACATGAGAATGGTGAAGTAGTTTCTAGTCCATTAGTAACCAAGGTGGATGTTAAAAATTATCTACTAGGAACAAACATTTTAAAATCAGCAAGTCACTAGCAAATAACTAGCACCCAAAAAGTCCTAAAAGAGCAGGCTGAGAAAATCTCTAGCCTACTGATGTTAATTCATGCCAGTCAGCGTGATTTGGTGGTGGGGGGGGGTTTCTTGTCAAACAAACCTGATTTCATTCTTCGAAAGGTTCTTGTCTTAGTACTGCACAACAGGCTAACTAAAAACGTAGCACTGAGCGGTACCTGCGAAGCACGCAGTGAGTGGATTAAGATCTGGGGAACTGACAGATCTCAGAAAGTGTTTGTCCGTATGGCATCATCATCAAATGGGCGAGTGTCCAGTGAGGTTCCACAGGGACTGGTACTAGCCCTGACCTCATTCAAAGTTTTCATCAGTCGGGAAGCAAATAGCAAAGGTGCAACTGAGCCAAAGATTTGTGGATTGAGACATACCGATTGGGACAGGGTAGCGCTATGGAGCGATCAGGATCTCAGGGTGATCTGGACCCATTCAAACACCAGGTGTTTTAATTCAGCCAAAAGCAAGGTCCTGTGTCTAGGGCCGTACCTGCAGAATGGGGGCCTGTGTCCTGGAAAGCAGGGACTCTGGACAGGACCTAGGAGTGCTCGTGGACAAGTAGCTGCCCGGGAGCTCCAGGTGTGATGCTGATGTGACCCGTGGCTGTGTGAAGAGGGGAGTCGAAGCAGAGTTCTGTATGGCACTGCTGGGATCGACGCTGGAGATCGCACCCCAGTCAGGGGTCCGCATTCGAAAAGGTGTTGACGTATTCGAGAGGGTGCAGAAAAGAGCCACAAAACCGATTCGGGGGCTGGAGAAGAGGCCAGAGAGTGACACGCAGAGCTCACTCTGTTTCGCTGATCACAGAGCAGACTGAGAGTTGTCATGACGACAGTGATTTAATCTTCACAGGGAGAAAATACTGGCGACTAACAGGCTCGTTAAGGGCGACAGGCAAAACGAGAACCCCTGGCTGGAAGCTGAAGTTAGGCACATTCAAATTAGAAATGAGGCAGGAAGTGTTCCCTGAGCGGGCGACTGGCCATTGGAGCAAACTGCCCAGGGAAGGGAGGGGGCCCCATCTCGGTGTCGCCAGCTCCAGGCTGGAGGCTTCTGGAAGGAGCTTTAGCCACCACAAGCAGTGGGTTCCATATGGGCGTGAGGGGGGAAGTGAAGCAGCTGGGCTAGGCCAGAGGTCAGGCTAGCTGATCTGATGGCCCTGCCGTGAACGTACGGCTCTGACCCCGCTCTCCCGCCTCACAGGCGGAGGGATACGCGGAAGGTGACACAACGCTCTATCACCGCTTCACGCTGATGGATTTCCTCAAGGCCCCCAACCCTGTGGATTTTCTCTCCAAGGCCAACGAGGTGAGTGCCCAGGGCATGGCTGGCCCCCGTGGGAGCGGAGAAGGCAGGGCCCACAGGCTGGACCCTGGGCATGTGTGCTGGGCTCGGCTCAGCCCCTCTGCTGGACGCCTGCAGTGCACTTATCAGCACCCAGGGGCTTGCTGGTGGGACCCGTGGCCCTGACCTTGGGCTTGGGGCAGGGAAGGGTTGCGGGGGCTGCGGGGCCTCGGGAAGGAGGCAGCTGCAGCCTTTCCCCTTCGGCTCCTGTGCAGATCACGCTGGGGGACAGCGAGCTGGAGCGGCACAGCATCACCACCGAGGAGCTGCACCAGTGCTGCCGGGACATCCGTGTGCTGGGCCGCAAGGAGCTCAGGTACGGGGGCGGGGGCACGCGGCCTGGGCTTGGGGAGTCTGGCATTGCCTGGGGTGGCTGGCTCTAACTCGCTGCTTCTCTGCTCAGGGCCCTGCTGAACTGGAGGACGAAGCTCCGTCGCTTTATGGCCAGAAAACTGAAGGAGCAGGCCAAGGAGTTGGACATCAGGTAGGACGAGAAACGTGGCTTCCAACCTCAGCTGCCCCCTCCATGCACACCAGGGGGTGCTGTGACACCAGGGGGTGCTGTGACACCAGGGGGTGCTGTGACACCAGGAGCTCCGTAGCTAGTACCCCCCAACTGGTTGCGCTGGGGAGCCTAGCCCAGGGTTGGCTGGTGGGGCAGGGCCAGGCTGAGTGACTCCATCTTCTGCCAGCTTGAGCTCCGGTGAGGAGGAGGAGGGCGGCGAGGAGGAGGTCGGGAAGACATCGGGAGCAGCTGGGGATGGAGCCGCTGAGGAGGAGGAGATGGAGCTGAGGCTGGCAGAGCTGAAGGCAGAGGAAGTGGCTGAGCTGAAGAGGTGAGTGCTGCCTTCCTAGGGGGCTGAGCGAGGGGATCTGGGCACCCAGGGGTGGGGGAAGCTCAGTGCTGTGAGCTCCCGCTATTTTCAGGCATGTGATGGGCTCATCCTCAGCTGGGCTGGGGTGTCCAGCCAGCAGAAATGCTGCAGGGGGCTCTCCCTTGCCACACTTGGGCGCCTTGGGAGCTCCCTGGGTGCCTGCCCCCCCTCCCCCCCTGGGTACTCCTATGTGCCTTGGGTGCCCCCCATGGCTCCTCTCCCGTCAGACCTATTTCCAGGACTAATTTCCTTTGGCCTCAGGACTGCTGCCCTTCCCAGGGACCCCAGCCTGGCTCAGACGCTCGCCCACCCCAGCGTGCGAGGGAAGCAGAGGCCCTGAGTGAAGTGACTTGCCCAAGCTCCCAAGGTCTGCAGCAGAGCTGGGAATAGAACCCAGGAATCCTGCCAGCCAGGCCTTCTCTGACACCCCCCACAAGACCCGGCTCCATGTGTCCCCGGCAGCAGCTGGAGCTCATTGCCTGGTGGCAGCCCACTGCTCTATCGCAGCATGATGGTTGCCCTCGGGGGTGAGGGGGATTGTGCCCCTTCCCCCATGACTGGAGAGCATGGCCCTGCAGCAGTAGAGATCTGTGAGAGCTATGGGCCCAGCCCTGCAGCTCAGGGGTCTCCATCTGGGGGGGGGGGGGGGCAGTCGGACAGACCTGCTGGGAGGCATGCTGGGGCAGCCGGGCTCCCATCCTTGTGACAGCAGCTGTGGGGCACTGGCTGCAGCATGACACCCCTCCCCCGGCGGGGTTCCCCCCAGGAAGAAGAAGAAGATCCTGAAGGAGCAGCGGAAGCAGCGTGAGCGCATTGAGCTGAAGATGGACCTGCCCGGTGTCTCCATCGCGGACGAGGGCGAGACTGGCATGTTCTCCCTCAGAACCATTGGCAAGACCCGGGTGAGGCTGCGGGGGCGACAGCTGGCTCCCCACCGGCGTGATGGCCAATGTCTGCTCGGGGCAGAGCTGGAGGGTTGGTGGGCCTTGGGCAATGGGGAGACTACAGGGGAGTGAGCAGGGCTAGGAGCGTGGCGGGTGGGGGCACTCCAGGAGTGTTGGCCGGCCAGGTGGGTGCTGGGCTGGGAGAGCGGCTGGCCAAAGGGGGAACTGGCAGGAGAGGAAGAGGAGACAGGATGATTTGATTTCTGTGGGGCCTGGCTCCTGAAACTCGCTCCCTGGTCCTCAGCTGCTGAACGAGGTGGCCCGGGGTGATATGGCGTCTGCTGATGCCTTCCTGGAGGCGCCGCATGAAGAGGATGACGTGGCCCTCTCGGAGCAGGACGACGCGGACGATGTGTCTCTGGCCAGCGACTTGGGCTCGGATGAGCTGGCCGACATCGAGGAGCGGCTACAGGAAGCCAAGCGGGGACTAGGCCCAAAGAGGTCAGAGCCATTGTGGGCAGCAGGGGGCGCTCACCCACCTGCCCTGGGGCTGGAGGGCAGGTGAGGTATCCTGGCAGCTGCAGTAAAATCCCCCTGGTTGGAGCAGCTTGCGGACCAGCTTGGCCGTGAGTAGGGCGCTACCAAATTCATGTCCGTGAAAAACACGTCCTGGACCATGAAATCTGGTCTTCCCTGTAAAATCTGGTCTCTTGTGTACTTTTTACCTAAGCAGCGTTTCGCAAACTGGGGCTCCCGGCATTGCCCTTCCTACTTCTGCACCGCCTTCAGAGCTGGGCGGCTGGAGAGCGGCAGCTGCTGGCTGGGAGCCCAGCTCTGAAGGCAGCACCGCCGCCAGCAGCAGCGTGGAAGTGAGGGTGGCACTACATTGGGGGGTCATCACCTTTTGGGGGGGGGTTGGCGGGGGCTTTACATGTTTATATTTTGCCATTTTTAAATACATATTCATGCTTTGTTACAACACCATGAAATTTAAGTATCTGAAACTGTGACATTCAAGCTTTTTAAAATGCTGTGACTGAAATTTACGAAAATGATGTAAATTTGGTAGGGCCATGGCCATGAGGGGTGCTGGGCAAACGACAGCCCCTCCACTCTGGGCTCCCAGTAGGAGGCGCTGAGACTGGCTGGGGTGATGACCAGGCGGATGGAGTCGGCCTGCTTGGCCCTTAACCCTTGCAGCACTGCTGCAGTGGGAGCTTCTGCCCCATTTCCTAGGGGTTGTAGCCAGGTGGGCAGCTCTGCTGAGTGCCCCGCCTCGGGGAGCCCTGTGTGAAGCAGCCTGGCTGCCCCTGCCGGGTCTCTGTCCGTGGGGCCAGGGCTGAGCGTGCCCGGCTGGCTGTGTTGCAGAGGGACCTTCCAGCAGCTGGCAGAGGAGGAGGGGGAGGAGAATCCCCTGCTGGTGCCCCTGGAGGAGAAGTCGGTGCTGGACGAGAGGCAGACCACCCTGTGGTTCAGGAAGGTGAGTGCCCCCGCTGGCCAGGAAGGGCCAGGCCCTAGGGTGGGGGGTGGGGCCAGGCCCTGGGGTGGGGGGTGTCCCAGCCCCTGTGCAGCGGCTCCAGCCTCACCTGGGTTCACCCACTCTCTGCTGGCTGGAGATAGGTCTGCGCTGGCTCTGGCCTGTCGCCCTCTGGTGGCAGCACAGCACATGTGAGCTGTGGTACTAATGGCTGGCAGGAGACTCCTGAGCTCCCCCAGGGAGGCCTGCCTGGGGCTGGGCAGCCGCAGGGCTGGGGAATTACAGGGGCCAGAGTCTCCCCACGTGGGCTTCAGGGACCCCAGGGGGGAGAGTGGGGAGCACAGTGGGAACAGCCCATGCATGAGGGCCTGTGTCCTTGCCCCCTCCTGCCAGCTACCCACGTGTCTCTCGCTGCCCCCTCCATCCCTGCCAGCTCCCTGCCACCCACGTGTCTCTCATTGCCCCCCGGCCAGCTCCCTGCCACCCATGTGTCTCTCCCCTCCAGCTCCCTGCCACCCATGTGTTTCCCGCTGCCCCCTCCTCCGCCAGCTCCCTGCCATTCACGTGTCTCTTGCTGCCCCCACCTCCCTGCCAGCTCAGCCCTGCCTTCTGTGATTGAGCGCTCCCTGTCCCTAGGAGGTCTTTGCCGGCATTGAGGACGACGCAGACGAGGCCCTGGAGATCAGCCAGGCGCAGGTGCTGTCTGAGTGGAAGGAGCCGCCGCCAGGTGAGAAGGGGGCCATGGTGTGATGCACAAGGCCTGCTGTCGCTGGGGGTAGCACCCTTGGCAGCCAAGCCCGGGAGGAAGCTGGGCCCCCATTGTCCAGATGAGGAACTGGCCACAAGGTCACAGAAGCAATTGGAGCTCTGGGTCCCCGGCTTGCTCTCGGGACCACCTGAATGGGGGGAGTGTCTGGTGAGACAAGCTTGACCCTGGCTCAGCCCCCAGGGAAAGGGGCCCAGCCAAACAAGGCAGGGCGCAGGGCTCCCCTGCAGCTAACGGGCCGTCCCCATGCTGTCCATTCAACCGGTGTGGCTGGGGCCCCTGGGAAGCAGGATTACCTCTTATCAGCATGACCAGCAGCAATGCCCCTCCCAGCAATGAGCTCCCTTGGGGGCCCCCCAGTCTGCCTCACCAACTGGCCTTGCTTGTCACACCCAGGGAACATGAAGGGGAAGGAGCAGAAGAAGCTGCCCCCATCCCAGGATGGAGCTGCAGCAGAGGTGGGGCCCAGGGCAGCCGTAGGGGCTGGTCCCAGCGAAGCCCAGGGCTGGGGGAGCAGTGGCGAAGACGACTCTGACAGCAGCAGCGATGAGGAGAGGTGAGGAGCAAATGGGGGTCGCTGGCCCGCCTGGTGTGGGGGCGGGGTGGGTGTAGCAGGGCCCCAGGCCCCCAGACTCTAAGCAGTGGGAGGGATGAGCTGGGGGGGCTGCCCCTCCCCCCCAGTCCTGAGCACCCTTGCCTTGGGAGACACTGTATGAGCGGCAGTGACAGCTCCTGTCTTCCCCCCAGGGAGACGTCGCAGAAGGGAAGGAAGCGGGCGCTGGTTGAGCCAGGTGGCTTCGAGGTGGTGCCCATTGAGGACCCAGGTGAGTTGAGCAGGACAGTGGGGTGGGAGGAGGTATTGTTTCATATTCTCTGTGTGTATATAAAGTCTGCTGCAGTTTCCACGGTAAACATCTGATGAAGTGAGCTGTAGCTCACGAAAGCTCATGCTCAAATAAATTGGTTAGTCTCTAAGGTGCCACAAGTACTCCTTTTCCTTTTCTTTTTGCGAATACAGACTAACACGGCTGTTCCTCTGAAACCTGTGCAGGGAAAGGCAGCCTTGCTGGGGTGTCTGCACCCCTGGACACCAGCATGGAGCTCAGGGCTGGGTGGTGGGCACAGGGCATAAGGCCACGGATATCTGGCCATGGAGGTTTCTACTCGTGGGGGAATTCTGCACCACTGCGCATGCGCAGAGTTTAAGTGCCCCACAGATTTCTTTGCTTCCCTGCAGAAAAATGACTTTCTGACAGGGAAGTAAAGGGGAAGCCACAAGAGCCGTCATGTGACCCTCCCCATCAGTATGTTTCGGGTGTCCAGGGCAGCCGGCAGAGAGGTAAATCACTGTGGGGAACGGGGCGGGACTGGGGAAGACCCGGCTGGTGGCTCCTCCCCTGCACAGCATCCGGGGTTGTCAGAGCCACCCCCAGATTTCTCCCCTGGCTGTAGGAAGCTCTGCAAATTCCCCCCCTCCCCCACGCATCCTGCACCCATTGCTCCCCCTGCACCTGGACCACCCTGACGAGCCACCTCCACCTGGATCCTCATCCCATGAGCCCCAAGCAGCTGCACCTGGATCCCCACCCCACTGAACCCTCCACACCCAGACCCCCCCTCCCGCTGAGCCCCAACCACCTTCACCTGGACCCCCCTGCAGAGTCCCATTACCATTGCTCCTGGATCACCCACTGAGCCGCCTGCACCCAGATTGCCCCACACAGAACCCTCTCAACCCACACCTGGATCCCCCCACGCTAAGCCCCTCCACACTTGGATTCTGCTGGGCTGAGCCTGCCTGCCCACACCTGGCATGGAGGGGCAAGGCCCTGGGGTGTTTCTGGGGCAGGCCTGGTCCTTGCGCTGCATCAGGGTTGGGTGCAGCCTCACCACTGAGTCTGTGTCCTGGGGGAGCTGCACTATGATCTCCCACCCCTGAGCAGCCAGTGGCCTGTCCTCCCCACTGCCATGCTGGAGCCTCCACGTTTATTGGACATATAAAACTTGGCAGAATTCTTCATGTTTTGGTGCAGAATTCTCTCAGGAGTAAACGGTTTCATATATGGAGGTGCCAGGGCCCAGGTGGGAGGGTTTGTAGCAGCCTGAGCCCATACTTGTCCATCTTCTCTCCTCCCTCCCCCCTCCCCCACCCCCCCCACACACAGTGAAGCGAGCCCGTGTCCTGGATGCGGAGGGGCTCGCGCTGGGGTCTGTCATTTCCACCTCCAGGAAAGCCAAGCGGGACCTGATTGACAACTCCTTCAACAGGTACCGGGGCAGCAGTCAGTATGGGGGCAGCGGCGACCAGCTTCTCTGGGTAGCTCCTGTGGGGGGGGGAGCAGCGGCGCTGGGCGGGCAGACAGCTGTGATTTTGAGGGGTCCGTTCCCCCTTGGTTGCTCCCTCTTGGGTAGAGAAGAGGGTGTGTTGCGGGAGGTGGATCCCTCATTTGACCCCTTCTCTCCTGCCCTGTGGGTGTGAGTTGTGTCTGGTGGTCACTTTCTGTGGGGGTGGTGTCAGGAGCTTGGCTTGTTTAGCCTAACCAAAAGAAGGCTGAGGGGAGATATGATTGCTTTCTATAAATATATCAGAGGGATATATACCAGGGAGGGAGAGGAATTATTTAAGCTCAGTACCAATGTGGACACAAGAACAACTGGCCAGTTTATATCCATCAGGAAGTTTAGACTTGGAATTAGACGAAGGTTTCTAACCATCAGAGGAGTGAAGTTTTGGAGTAGCCTTCCAAGTGGAGCAGTGGGGGCAAAAGATGTATCTGGCTTCAAGATTATCCTCGATAAGTTTATGGAGGAGATGGTATGATGGGATAACATGATTTTGGCAATTAATTGATCTTTATTCATGGTAAATAGGCCCAATGGCCTGTGATGGGATGTTAGATGGGGTGGGATCTGAGTTACTATAGAGAATTCTTTCCTGGGTATCTGGCTGGTGAATCTTGCCCATGTGCTGACTGCCATATTTGGGGTCGGGAAGGAATTTTTCTCCAGGGCAGATTGGCAGAGACCCTGGGGTTTTTTTGCCTTCCTCTGTAGCATGGGGCACGGGTCACTTGCTGGAGGATTCTCTGCTCCTTGAAGTCTTTAAACCACGATTTTAGGACTTCAATAGCTCAGACATAGGTGAGAGGTTTATTGCAGGAGTGGGTGGGTGAGATTCTGTGGCCTGCGTTATGCCGGAGGTCAGACTAGATGGTCGTAATGGTCCCTTCTGACCTTAATGTCTATGAGTCTGAGTCTTCTGTCTGTTAGCCCCAAGGCTGGGAGCGGGGGCGGAGGAGGGGCTACTCCTCTGCTTGTCCCTGGGCCCCACCGTCAGCTGGGGCACCCCTTCCCTAGGTATGCCTTTAACGAGGAGGAGGGGGAGCTGCCTGAGTGGTTCCAGCAGGAAGAACAGCAGCACCGCCGGAAGCAGCTGCCTCTGGACCGGCAGACGGTGGAGGAGTACCGGCAGCACTGGTGCCAGATCAACGCCCGCCCCATCAGAAAGGTGGCAGAGGCCAAGGCCCGGAAGAAGCGGCGGGTAAGTGAGCTGCATGGCCTGCGTCCCTGGGCGGAGTTGCCCTTCCCCCTACCCTCTTCTCTCCCCGCCTGCCCGGGCCCCCCCAGCTACTCCCTAATCTCTCCCATCTCCCCCAGATGCTGAAGAAGATGGAACAGATGAAGAAGAAGGCGGAGGCTGTGGTGAGCACAGTGGATATTTCAGAGCGTGAAAAGGTGGCCCAGCTGCGCAGGTGAGTTATGATGTCGGGGTCTACGGCATGGGCAAGGGGTGGTTGGATTGTCCTGGGATCTGTCAGAACAACGGAAGTCGTGCCAGGCAGGCAAGCAGCCATGAGGCTCCCGAGGGGTCGTTTCAGCTCCCCACCTCTGCCTTGGCCAGGCCCCTGCTGCTTCGGGCACCAATATTGGGCAGTGGTGTTGAGCCGGGGGGGCTCTTAAAAGAGGGTTGTGCAGCCCGTGACCTGGGAGGGTGGGATGCTGGCTGGCTGGATGGGCTGAAGAGGCAGCTGAGAACAAAGGTGGAGAGGTGGTGGGGGTCAGACAGGAAGGGGGTCCCCATGCTTTTCTGAGGCTGCAGCCCTGGAGGACATGGCAGCTCTTAGGGTTGTGGAGATGGGGGCTCAGCCCAGAGCAGTTCATGCCCTGGGAAGCATGTGGAATCCAGAGCTGGGAGTTGCTCCCACCAGCTGTCACATTGACACCCCCTATTGGTCTGATTCCTCCTTGGGCTTGTTCCCACCCGGTGGGCAAGCAGCTGGGGGGTGCAGGTCTCTGCTCTAACCTCTCTCCCCTCTCCTCTGGCAGCATCTACAAGAAGGCCGGCCTGGGGAAGGAGAAGCGGGAGGTCACCTACCTGGTAGCCAAGAAGGGAGTCGGCCGGCGCGTGCGGCGCCCTGCAGGGGTCAAGGGACACTTCAAGGTGGTGGACAGCCGCATGAAGAAGGACATGAGGGCTCAGAAAGGAAAAGAGAAGACGAAACGGCGCCGCAAGTGAGGACTCTGCCCCCGAGGGCTGGGCATGGCCGGCGCCTAGCACCATGTGCCAGGCTGGGGTAGCTGGACAGCCCACTTCTGAGCCCCCGGCTCCTCAGCCAGAGGAGGAGGGAGACACGCTCTGGATCATAAGAGGTCACTTCCTATGGGCAATGGAGCCACTTCCTGTCTGCAGCCTCACGGGAACTGGCCATGCCAGCCTCAGCTTCCTGGCACCACCACCCTTCCCAGGCTTGCTGTGCGCCAGACGATTGGTTAGCCCTGGTCCTGTGGTTATGTTGACATCACAGCTGTCAATTCTACTCTGTACATCCACCTTCTAGCCGCACCCCACTGCGTGCATGTCCCGGTCCCCCCAGAGAGCAAGGCCAGGAGGTTCACAAGCTGCTTTGACTGTTGCTTTCAGCCAGGCTTCCTGCGCTGGGCCAATCCCTGTGCAGTCCGTGGCCTGGCCAGTAGCAGGGGCTCCTTGGAGCTTGGTCCGGCATTGCTTCCTGCTTTGGTTGTAGACTGAGTGGGTGCATGGCGTGGGGGTTCGCTGGGAAAGCAGGAGCTAAAGCTAGGCAGGGGGAGGCGTCCCTGTCCCTTTTTCATCTCCACTGTCTGGTCTCACTGGGGGACGCAGCACTCCTAGCTTGCTCTGAAATTAAACCCTGTTCTCTGGGCCTGTTTGCTGTTCCCCATGGCTCTGCTAGATTGCGGCCGGGGGATCCTGCCTCTTCTGTTAGCTCTGTGGCTGGGTGTCTCTTTCGGCCTCCTGGCTGCAGTACCAGCCGGATGCTGGGGCTGCTGTCAGAGCTCACTAAAGCAGGTGCAGCTGCCAGCATCAGATGGGGCAGCTCCCCAAATGAGCTGTGGCCTCTCCTCTCGGGGCTCTCTCCCAGCCCTGCCTGTCTCAATAGGGGAAAGGGAGCCGAGCTGGTGACTCCAGAGAAAGGCCTCAATTGCAGAGCAGCACCCTGAATTGTGGCCAGTGGGGTGCTAGCTCCTGGGACTGGGGAGGTCGGGAGGCCTGGGTCTATCCTGCACCTGGAATGGCACTGTTGCCAAGTGTGGGGGAAGGACCCGTGCGATGGATGCTGAGTGCAGGAAATGGGACGTCGGGGCCACAGGTGCGGGTAGCAGAGGCGCTGAGGGGAGCGGCACCTGTCGCAACGAAGGCGAGAGCTCCGGTGGTGATGGGTCGGTGCGGAAAACAGTGGTGCCGACTGCACCCACAGCAGCAATGACTGTGCCGGAAGCAGTGGTGCTAAGAGGCATCCCCAAGTGAAATCCTCTCTGCCCTTCGTAAGTGACAAAGAAAGAGGTGACTTAGCAGGCAGCTGGGGAGATCTACTCCCATGCTCCTTGGCAGGATGGTGTCCATCACACTCGAGGTTTCTAACCGGGGCAGGCACAGCCTTAGAGGTGGAAGAGATGGCTGCTAGGGTACTTTTTACTCAAGGATGAATTGGTCCAAGGAGAATCCTGCATCTCTTTAGGGACTGAGCCTGGCCTCCTAGACTTCTGCATGAGAAATACTTTCAGTCTAGTCTCCCTGGATTTCACAGCCCATTTTGGGAGGGCTCTGAAGTCCCTGCACTGCTCTCTAATGTGTGTCTGTGTATCCAAACAATACAGACACACATTACAGTGTCCCTCGTTCCAGGCATGGCAGACCCACATGAGGAACATAATTTAAATCCTGGGGACTAAACCCCCATGTACCTGGAGAAGACAGAAACTGTTCACCTCAGAGTCCTACTCCCCTGTACCAGGATTCATAATCTCCAAGGCCAGAAGGGACCATTGTGATCATCCAGTCTGGCCTCCTGTATAGCAAGGCCAGAGACCTGCCCCAAAATAATTCCCAGAGCCGATCTGTTAGAACAATATCCCGTCTTCATTTACAAATGGTCAGGGATGGAGAATCAACCATGAACCTCAGTAAATTGTTGGTTAATTACCCTCACTATAAAAAATTTACACCATATTTCCAGTTTGAATTTGTCAAGCTTCAACTTCCAGGCATTGGATTGTGTTCGACCTTTCTCTGCTAGATTGGATATATGTTCCCCGATATTTACAAATTGTAATCAAGTCACCCTTTAAACTTCTCTGTCTTAAGCTAAATATATTGAGTTCTTTGTGTCTCACTATAAGGCATCTTGTCTAATCCTTTCACCATTCCTGGGGCTCTTCTCCGAACCCTTTTCAATTTATCAATATCCTTGTTGAATTGTGGGCACCGGAACTGGACACAATGTTCCAGCATCAGTTGCACCCCTGCCAAATACAGAGTATCCTACTCGAGAGTCCCCCGTTTATCCATCCCAGAATCGCATTAGCTCTTTTGGCCACAGCGTTGCACTGGGAGCTCATGGTCAGCTGATTATCCACCACGACCCCCACATCTTTTTCAGAGTCCCTGCTTCCCAGGCTAGACTCCCCCGCCCTGTAAGTATGGCCGACATTCTTTGCTCCAAGGAGAGGGCAGCTAAGACTCAAATCCTCCCTAAAACTGGAGAGTTCAGCTAAACTAACTAAACCACTATCAAAAATTGCTATTTTCAAAACGTAAAGAGAAAAACTTCAGTGGAGCAGGAGACCGGACACTGCTGCTGGCTCTGTCTCACAGCCAGAGGCCCTGAGAAGGAACTGAGGGTTGGCTGGTTGCTTAACCCCCATTGTGCCCTCGGTAAGAGGGGGCTTGAGGACATGGAGAGCACAGCTAAAGCATTCTGATCTCCAGTGCATGGGGAGCATGTGCACCAGAAGTGCAGCACATCTGGCAAACAGTCAGTGTAAATGGAGGTTACAGTTTGGTTCAGACATATTCCACTCTGTCACACTGGTACTCCTGTTACCTTGCCAGTGTAGGGGATTCCAGCCTTGTAGGTAGCGTCAGCGTCCTCAAAGGTCACCGTAGCGATTTCAGACACAATATCGCAGTGCTTGGTCGCGTTGAGCTCCACCCCTAGCAGGAGAGGGAGGGACGATAGGAAGAAGGTGCTGGGAGCGACACCAGAATTCAGGCTACGTCCCAGATTAATCTCCATAACAATACGTGCAGCCGTTCTACCCCCTCTCGCTATCGACTGGAGGGTGTGATCTTGGTGGAAAATTTGAGAAGTTCGGCAGGGGTCGGAGAAGGATTTTCCTGGGGAATCTGGAAACTAGAAAATTTAGATCCACCTTCCCATGGGGCTTAATCCTAAACCAGCCACTTGACATTTGCCAGCAGGCTCTCCTGCGCTGCGGCCCTTTCCCCAGCAGAGAGCTCTTTACTGAACGGCCCCAGAGCTGACCCCGCACACAGGCCTCTCGGCACAGTGCCTGCCCCCAGAAAGGGCCGTCTTCAGAAGTGCCCAGTGACCCGTTGCCATTCTGGAGCCGCTCTCCTCCAGCCACTTCGCCATCGCTGATGTCAGCACCCAAGGGTAACGCTGTAGCCACCCCACAGTTACAGTTTTCAGTGAAATGGGTGTCAACCGCTCTGGAAATCAGGATTCTTCTGGGTTATATGTGGAGTTATCTGGGGTCATTACTAAGCGATTAGCACTTGCAGTTTTGAACGCTAAGCGCTAATGTCACTGAGGCCGTGACTCAGGACCCAGCGACACAGGCTGGGCCTTCACTCCACTCTGCCAGCTCAGTCCAAAGCCAGAGGCCTCTCGCAGGAGGCTGTTTAGTCTGCATGAATGTACCCAGGTCTGAACTCCTCATGAGGGATTGATCCAGAGATGGGCTGAACCAGAAACCCAGATCCAACCCGCAAATGCTACCTCTTGGGCCCATCTCTAAAGCAGCTGGGCTACAAATGACATTACCACATGTAAAAAGAACAGGAGGACTTGTGGCACCTTAGAGACTAACCAGTTTATCTGAGCATAAGCTTTCATGAGCTACAGATCACTGAATGCATCTGATGAAGTGGAAAATACAGTGGGGAGATTTTATATACACAGAGAACATGAAACAATGGGTGTTACCATACACACTGTAACCAGAGTGATCAAGTAAGGTGAGCTATTACCAGCAGGAGAGCGGAGGTGGGGGGGAGAAAACCTTTTGTAGTGATAATCAAGGTGGGTCATTTCCAGCAGTTGACAAGAATGTGTGAGGAACAGTGTGTGTGTGTGTGGGGGAAATAGTTTTACTTTGTGTAATGGCCCATCCACTCCCAGTCTTTATTCAAGCCTAATTTAATTGTATCCAGTTTGCAAATTAATTCCAACACCACACAACAAAAACATTAACCCAGGAACCTATCCTTGCAACAAAGCCCGTTGCCAACTCTGTCCACATATTTGTTCAGGGGACACTATCATAGGGCCTAATCACATCAGCCACACTATCAGAGGCTCGTTCACCTGCACATCTGCCCATGCGATATATGCCATCATGTGCCAGCAATGCCCCTCTGCCATGTACATTGGCCAAACTAGACAGTCTCTATGTAAAAGAATAAATGGACACAAATCAGATATAAAGAATAACATTAAAAAACCCGTCAGAGAACACTTCAATCTCTTTACAGACCTAAAAGTGGCAATTCTGCAACAACAAAAAACTTAAAAACCAGACTCCAACGAGAGACTGCTGAATTGGAATTAATTTGCAAACTGGATACAATTAACTTAGGCTTGAATAGAGACTGGGAGTGGATGGGTCATTACACAAAGTAAAACTATTCCTTCCCCCCTGCTCTCCTGCTGGTAATAGCTCACCTTACCATACACACTGTAACAAGAGTGATCCGGTAACACCCATTGTTTCATGTTCTCTGTGTATATAAAATCTCCCCACTGTATTTTCCACTGCATGCATCCGATGAAGTGAGCTGTAGCTCATGAAAGCTTATGCTCAAATAAATTTGTTAGTCTCTAAGGTGCCACAAGTCCTCCTTTTCTTTTTGCGGATACAGACTAGCCCTGCTGCTACTCTGAAACCTGTCATTACCACATGTGCAAGTGACACTCCTCTGCCCCTGGGGGTTTACTGCTGGGGGCGTGCATGTGTGCTTGATTTCAGTCCCACCTGTCCCCTCCTCCATGAGAGAGGCCTTGGCCTGGAGGCTCCTCTTGTAGCCAGAGTGGGTCAGGTTGAAGGGAGCCGTCCCCACCTCTCTGGAAAAGCAGCCGTTGCTCTCAGTCTGGAGGGAGAGAATCACGGCCCATTAGCAGCAGCTCTGCAGCAGGCCCTGCAGGTGTCAGCTCAGCAGGTCTCTAATCGGGCTTGGCCTGGTGAGCGCTTGGGAGACACTCAAAGAAAACCTGGGTGCTGAAGTCAGCAGCAGGGGGCGCTCACACCTTGGAGTCGGCCCTGACACCGGTATCCCAGCGCGGCGCTAGGGGGCGCTGTGCAGCTGGAGCTGCTGTGGATGGATGAGACGTAAAACAGAGGCCCTGGCCACTTGTGACCATCCCCTGGTGCTTGTCCCCCATCGTCGTGTTAACGCTGGATAATTCCAATTGGTCCCCCAACCCCACAGGACTGAGAGCATTCGGGGAGATCTGTGTCTTTACAGTGCCCTCGCCTAACGAGAGCTGCTGATGAGGAAGGGAGGCCCCGTAACCTAGGACACTGGCCTAGGTCTGGAGAGACCGGGGGGCAAGTCCCTGCTCTGCCACAGACATCCTGCGGCACTGAGTCTCAGAGCCCAGCTGTGGGGCTAAAACCAGCAGGTCGACGTTTGGGTCCAGGCTCTAGCCTCGGGAGGGGGGAGGGTCTCGGAGCCCAGGCTGCAGCCGAGCATCTACACTGTTACTTTAGCCCTGCGGCACAAGCCCCAGGCAGCAGAGCTGTGCTCGGAGATGCTGCCACAGGGTTTTTCCTGCGCAGACGGACGCTGAGCATCTCCGTGCCTCAGTTCCCCATCTGTACAATGCGGACAGGAGCCTGCCCCGCCTCCCGGGGCTAGGAGGGTCAGTGAGGCCCTGAGATATTATGTTGAAGGAGGGGGGGCCATATAAGTCCCTGAGCCCTGCTACACAGCTGCCAGTCCCCACCCCACAGCCTGCCAGACGGGGACCCTGACGGATCCAGGGCCTGATTCGCCTGCACTGACACCAGCTTTACACCAATGTCACCAACATCATCAAGGCAGATCACAGCGCCCCCTCTGGCTAGTGTAAGAAAAACATGGAGAGGAGTCTCCTCCAGCAGCATGCCATGTACCTCCCGTCTCCCCATCCCCAGTCGCGCTCACCTCGCCAGTGAGCTCTGTGCACCAAATTAGCGCCACTTAAGAACTGAACCTGTGATATGATGGTTGTTTCTCCCGACACAGGCTGTCCTGGATCCTCCCCAGGACGGGCTTCCCGTAGCTGTATCTGTTTAGCAGAGGGGAGGGAGACGGTAAAGGGGAGGGGAGGGGCGCCCGTGGTGGGGTCCTTGCTGTGGTGGGGCTGGTCATGCGGGTGGGAGTGAGAGCCCCAGGGAGCCCTGTCTGGCCATGAGCATGGGGCAGAGCGGGGTGCAGGCAGGGAAGGGGCAGGTCTAATCCTGGCCTGGGTGCGGTACCAGCCCCCCCTTTATCGGCCTGGCAGCACTGCTTTCAGACTCACCAACCGCACACTCGCAGCAGAATCGTCTCATCCAGCACCGTCACCACGGGGGGCAGCTCAAGGATGACTTTGAACTTGGGCAGCACTGGGGGGCAGCGAGGGACAGGGTGAAACTGACCCGCAGCCCCAGCTTGGGGGTTTCATTGTGATCCTCGGCCTTGGAGCTTCTCCCTGGGTCTTGCAGCCCCCTCACCAACCTGCCAGCTGGGCTGGGAAGGGGAAAGGCCCAGAAATGCAGCAGGGCTGGGCAGAGGCTTTAGGCTGCAGCAGTAGGGTTGCCAGCTGTCCAGTTTTCAACTGGAACGCCCGGGTGAAAAGGGACCCTGATGGCTCTGGTTGGCACCACTGACCGGGCTGTTAAAAGTCCAGTTGGCGGAGCAATGGGGCTAAGGCAGGCTCCCTGCATGCTGTGGCTATGTGCTGGTCCCAGAAGCTGCAGCATGTCCCCCCTCTGGCTCCTACTCATAGGGGCAGCCAGGGGGCTCCTCACGTGACCCCAGCCTCAAACATCCGTTGGGGATCAGGGTGGTGGGAGGCAGTTGAGGGGGTCAGGGGCAGGTGTCTGGGGCAAGGGTGAGGGTAGAAGGCATTTGGGGAGGTCAGGGGCAAAGGTCTGGGGGAGGCAGTTGGGGGGGGGGGGTCAGGGGCAGGTGTCTGGGGCGAGGGTGGGGGTAGGTGACATCAGAACTCTTCTCTCCCCCTCCCCCACATGAGCCAGAGGAGGTTTTTTTGTGTGGGAGGGGGAGGATGGAGAGGGGGCCACTGACATTTCCCTCTCCCTCACAGCAACACCCACTCTGGGAAGGGTGTGTATGTGTGAAGAGCCCTTTGTGCTTCAGGGGCTGAGCAGAGGTGGGGCTGGGGGGTACAGGGCAGATGTGGGTGGGTGCTAAGGTGGGGCTGGGGGGATAGAGTTAGATGCTGGGTGGTTGGTGAGAAGCTGGAAGCTCCGTCCCGTCCGGCAGCCAGCGAGCTCCATCAGCAGGGGCCAGGGTCAGCTTCCGCGATAATTTGGGTGACATGGTAACTGCCCCCATACACCTCCCATGGACACTGGGAGGTGGCAGGGGGTGGGGTGGCTGGAGAAATCCAAAGCAGACCAAAAACATGAAACGGTCATGGTTTTGACTCATGATGTTGGACCCACGGACATCTCGCCACAAGGAGACTCAGGAATCCCCCTCCCTCCCCATGTGCTGGACCCGCGGCCTCGGTCGCTGTCCTGGGCCCCGCTGCCCACCGTATTCCTCCACGCTGAACGAGTGCCTCGTCCCCTGCGCCTGGATGGCGTAGGTCCCCAGGGCCGGCTCTGCAGACAGCGGGAGGGACAGATCCACGATGCCCTGCTGCGGAGTCACATCTCGCCACTGGGCGATGCGGTTCCCGCTGGGATCCTGGCACACGAACACGCCCTGCTCAGCAGCTGCCCCCACACACAGCTCGTCCCCGGCAGCCCCCGAGTGCCTCGTGCTGCCGACGGGGCTGGATCGACGGCCGGGGGCTCAAATCCTTCTCCTTAGCCTGGAGCAGGCACCTCTGGGCAGCCGCTGGGCAAGGGGGCCCTGCCAGTGCCCCTCAGCCCTGACCCGAGGGCACCGCCTGGGGGGGGAACAGGCTCCCAAGGGACGCCCCATCTCCAGCCTGGATGAAGCCCAGGGAACAGGCTGTAGGGACCATTTCCATCTCAGTTCTAGGTCTCTGTGGGTATGTTCCCTGTCCCCTTCCCCACACACAGCCCCCCCAAACCTCCACCCCTCCCCTCTGCCCCTGTAGCTCCCAAAGACCCTCCCTCTTCCCCTGCCCTTCCCCCATTCAGGCTCCCACGGGAGCTCCCCGCTGAGTTCCCCACTGGCCTGATCAAGTCGCTGCCTGACCCAGAGTTCGGGGGCTGGGAACATTCGGGGTGAGCGACTCAGGCAGGGATCCCAGCCAGCCCCAAACCCACCTGCCTCCTGGACAGACAGCCCCAGACGCTGCAATGGGGGGGTGGGAGGACGTAACCTGATGGCACAAATGTCCCCTCCCTGCCCCCCATGTGGTCCAGCCTAGAAACACCCTTGCTCTAGGACGCTTTGCACCCCCACAGCGGGGCAGAGGGGTCTAGAGCTGGATTGCTGGACACTGTGGTCACAGCCCAGACTCCTCTGGGATCCCCACGACTGAACACCCCCAGGTGCACTCAGATGAGCCAGACAGGAAGAGGAGGAGGCTGGAGAGGCACAGACTGACCTGCAGAGTCACCAGGGGCAGCTGCAAAGCAAACAGACAGGAGATGGCTGGTTAGAGGGACAGGAAACACCCCCCATTGCCCAGGGCTCTGCTTGTGACCTCCCCAGGGCCGGGTGTCTCTGAGGCCAGGGGGGATCATGCAGACAGCAGCGGGGTGACCGAGAGAGCAGGGACCGGAAGGGGAGCCCACAGCCCTGCCCACACTGGGACCATGAGGCTGGCGCCTCGCACCTCCCCTCCCTGCAGTGGCGGATGTAGGGCAATGGGTGGCTGGTCTGTGCGTGGCAGGGTGAGAGGCTGGGGTCTCTGCCAAGGGGCAGTCGAAGGGCCGGGGGTCTGTGTTGCAGCCAGTGGCTGGGCAAGATGGCTGGGAGGGGAGATGTCAATCTGTATTTCCACACTGGGCCCGATTCTGCCACCTCACTCAGAGTGCCCAGCGCGGTTAGGCTGAAAGGTGCTAATGACTGTCATCCTGGGGGTGGGGGGCTGGCATCCACAGCCAATCACAGACTTCACTAAAGCCAGGGGGTGGCCAGTGCCCTCATTCAGGCTCCATGCCATGTGCAATCACCCCTCTCTGCGTAGTAAAGAGACTGCAAACAACAGAGGCGACTGCCCAAGGCACTAGGCCCCAAGGGGCGGGTCCACACTGCTGTTTTCAGCCGGCCAGCACAAGCCCTGCTATTGCAAGTCTGTTAACCTGCCCTGGGAGACTCGCCCCCAGCAGCAGTGAAGACCGGGGTGGCGGCTGAGGCGTTCCCAGGATACCGGAGATCCCGGTGTTTCCAGGAATGGCAAGGGCCCTCCCCGCTGGCGTGACCTCCCACACTCGGTGTGTGTGAGTTCACGCCAGCAGGGGCAGAGCAGTGCGCTCTTCCAAAGGGCGCCCGCCATCCAATACCAGACATAACCATGTACTGGATGGGGCAAACCACCCCGGAAGAGGACTGTCTGATTTCAAACTGGATGAATGGCCTGCCTGGTGTAAACATACCTAAGATGTTCAGTGCACCAGGGCCCTGTTACCCTGCCCCCCGGCCCCTGCCCCCCGCTCTCACCTTCCTGGGACTGGGAATGAAGTCTTTGTCCAAACTGACGATTCGAAACTTCACTGGAAAGGAGCAGAGGCAGAGGTGGGATCAGCCCCGGCTTGGTTTGTCTGAGTGAATTCCCAGCTGGGGAAGGTGCCAGCCGGACGCCCGGGCACTGACGGCCTCTGTGAACCCGCAGAATGGGCACAGCCCGGGCAGTGCAGCGCCAGCTTCCCCACGCTGCCCTCTGCCAATGACCACGGCCCTGCCCTGCGCGGCTGGAGGCTGCCGGGGGGGCCGATCGGTGCCCCTGCCGCGTCTGTGCCATCACCAAGGACGGGCTGAGACCCCCACTTGGTTCCATACAGGCCCCCAAACAGGCCTCAGGCTTTGGGCCTCTCGCCCCCTGGGACCGGGTGCAGACAGGCCTAGAAGTGAGAGACCCGTGTCCCTCGTGAGGCCCCCAGCCCAACCCCAGGGCCCAGGAGTCCGTCCCAAGGGGCTGGGGCCCCAGGACTCTCCCTCCAGCAGCTCCTGCCCTCTCACCTGTCTGTCCCGGCTTGTAGACGGCCTTGTCCGTCTGCACCAAGGCCCCGGGCTCCAGTGCCTGCAGCAGCACTTTCTTCCGCTCAGAGAAGTGCAGGGCGTCTCCCCGGATCGAGACGTGCAGCTCCGCCGCGTCCTGCCGCCCCCCGGATGGGGCTGGCACCTGCACACGGGGAACCCCAGCAAGGCCACAGCGGCTGGTAACGGGCCGGTCGTGGTGCAGACCCGCTATCGCGTGGGCAGGGGGGCAGTGGTGTTTGGGAGTCCCTGTTCCAGCCCCCCAAAACACAGGAACCCCCTCCCCAGCCTGGGGCCCTGAACGGGAGGGAGCATGAACCTGGGCGCTCGATGGAGTTGGAAGCCAGGGCGCGCTCTGTCCCCCCCACCCCATCCCCGCTCCCTCCTGCCTGTCGCTGCTGAGGGATGGTCTCGAGTTCTGCGGCTACAGCTGCCCAGTGAGTGACCAGCTCCGTGCCCAGGGCCAGTCCCCGAGCCCTGCTGTGCCCGGGCCCTGAGGCTGGGCGGGGGCTGCAGACCCGGGGCTGACGGGCTCCGTGCCCATGGCCAGTGCCCGGGGCCGTGCCCATGGCTGCGGGCGGGGGCTCACCTGGAAGCGCACGTTCTCGTGCAGACGGGGCTCCTGGACCTCTCTCTCCAGCAGGGGGATAGCGCTGGGCCCATCCCCCCTCTCCAGCCGGACGCTCACCCGGACGGTCTCGTTGAGGTCGCTGAGATGAACTGACACCGTCCCCGTGTGCGGGTGGTAGAGCACGGCTGGGCTCACCACCACATAGCGCCTGGGGAGGGGAAAGCACCATGGGCAGTGCGGGAGGGGACAGCCCAGAGCCTCCCCCAGGGCCGGGGGTGACTCCCGAGTCCCGAGTGTCCCTCCCGCTGGGGACAGGCCTGGGTCGACGGGGCTGGAGGCTGGTTCGTTTCTCTAACCACAGGGCAGGGGCAGGGCAAGGCCCCCCGCTGCATCCCCTGCCCCAGCCTGCCTCCCGCGGAGCTGGAGGGGCCTCAGGGGCACAGAGAGGGGCTCAGTTCCCGTCCATCCCCGTCCTCTCGGCTGCTCGGTCTCCCCAGAAGGGGGCGGCTAGTGGTGCTGAGAGTGAGCAGAGACCCCTGTGCATGGCGTGGGCGGTGGGGGGGGCTGATTAGTCTGGGGCTGGACTGAGCACCTGAGCCCTTTGCAGCCAGTAACCAGCTTTAGATACAACCTGTCATAAATCTAAAGGGAAGGGTAAACCCCTTTAAAATCCCTCCTGGCCAGAGGAAAAATCCTCTCACCTGTAAAGGGTTAAGAAGCTAAAGGTAACCTCGCTGGCACCTGACCAAAATGACCAATGAGGAGACAAGATATTTTCAAAAGCTGGGAGGAGGCAGAAAAACAAAGGGTCTGTGTCTGTCTGGGTGATGCTATAGCCAGGGACAGAACAGGAATGGAGTCTTAGGACTTAGTAAGTAATCTAGCTAGGTATGTGTTAGATTATGATTTCTTTAAATGGCTGAGAAAAGAACTGTGCTGAATAGAATGAATATTTCTGTCTGTGTGTCTTTTTTGTAACTTAAGGTTTTGCCTAGAGGGATTCTCTATGTTTTGAATCTAATTACCCTTTAAGGTATCTACCATCCTGATTTTACAGAGGTGATTCTTTTTTACTTCTATTAAAAGTCTTCTTGTAAGGAAATTGAATGCTTTTTCATTGTTCTAAGATCCAAGGGTTTGGGTCTGTGGTCACCTATGCAAATTGGTGAGGATTTTTACCAAACCTTCCCCAGGAAGTGGGGTGCAAGGGTTGGGAGGATTTTGGGGGGGAAAGACGTGTCCAAACTACGTTTTCTCAGGAACCCAGATAAAGTTTGGTGGTGGCAATGGAAGTCCAGGGGCAAAGGGTAAAATAGTTTGTACCTTGGGGAAGTTTTAACCTAAGCTGGTAAAAGTAAGCTTAGGAGGTTTTCATGCAGTTCCCCACATCTGTACCCTAGAGTTCAGAGTGGGGAAGGAACCTTGACACAACCCCACCTCCAGGCCACTCTGCACCCCGGGGCCTCCGCCCGCTCTCACAGGGACCCTTCGGTGTTTGCACCTTCGGGGCACTCCCAGGTTCTGGCTGAGATGTTTGTTTAACGCTCTGTGTTCATCGGTAATTACTGTTCTATTTCATTGGGGCCTAGAGACCCATCCGAGCTTGGTCCCCCTGCACTGGGGCTGGACAGACCCGCAGACAGAGACAGGCCGTGGCCCGAGGAGGTGACAGGCTGACAGAGCAGGCAGCCACAGAGGATTATCATCCCACGGTACAGAGCCTAGCTGAGGCTCAGAGGGTCGGTGTCTGGCTGGGGGCGCACAGGGCATCTGCAGCAGAGCCGGGCTCTGAACCCAGCTCTCCCATGCCCCAAGCCACTGTCTTAACCAGAGCCAACCTCCCCCGGTGCTTGGAGGGGAAGGAACAAGGGGCCCAGGAGGGACCCAGCATCGGGGTCTGAGTTCCTGGGGAGAACGGAACTGTCCCGTCAGTTTTGGATCAAGCAGCCCCCTCATCGGTGCCCTCGGCTGCTCCCCCTCTGGGTCTTTCTTCCTCGCGCTCTCCCCCGCTCTGTGCTGGAGACCAGCCTGCTCTGCCCTGGTACAGACTCTGGAGCCAGAGTTTTGCTTTGATCCAGGGTAAACAAGGGTCATGTCAGGTCTCTGGCTGGGGCTGGGGGATGCAGCCAGGACAATAGTTAAACACCACCCACAGCTGCTGGATTCGAGGCTCTGACGGGTCGTTGCAAAGGTTTAGGTGGGCCAGGAGGTCCCTTGCATTGGTTACATGGCAGGGGGTGGGGCCCTCTGGGGGTCCGTGGTGGTGCAGGAGCCCAGATGCTGGGAAAGCCCTGGCCGGAGCAGGCGGGAGGCACTTGCTGAGAAATGAGTTTGTTAAAGTGGGTTCTGGCAGCGACCCCACTACTGCAAAGCAAATGAGAAGAACATTGGGGTTGCTGAGCATGTCTCGTGAAAACCCCATTCACGATCGCTGCTAACGTTCTCAAACTGGGACTGCCGGGGAGGAACTTTCCAAGCTCAGGCTCTGCTTTGGGTGGAATTTTTTTGGTAAACTTTCAGCAAAAACTAATCACACCATTTCTTAGAGCACGGTCAGCATTAACACAGGTCGGTTTTTCCAGGGCAGTCCATTTTCCTGAGCATTTCTTTGAGGAGTTCTAGCACCTCCAGGCCTTGGAGCCTGGAACTGAAATTTGGCAGCGGGATTGTGCTTGGCCAGGGGTGGCCAACCTGAGCCTGAGAAGGAGCCAGAACTTACGAATGTACGTTGCCAAAGAGCCACTGTAATACGTCAACAGCCCCCCGTCAGCTCCCCACCTCCACCCCAGATCCTCCCACCCTCTGACAGCCCCACCGATGAGCACCTCCCCCTCCCTCCCTGCACCTCCTGATCAGCTGTTTCCCGGCGTGCAGGGGGCTGGGGTGGGGGGAGGAGCGAGGGCACGGCTGGCTCAGGGGAAGGGGCGGCAAGGGGTGGAGTGGGGGCAGGGCCTGTGGCAGAGCCAGGGGTTAAGCCAGGGCTGGCCTTACAATGAGGCGTCCGCCTCAGGTGCCAGACTGTGTGTGTGTGGCGGGGGGGCGTCCCTAGGACCCAGAGTGTAAAAGATGGTGTCTGCTGCTGGTGCATCTGGATTCTCTCTGCTCAAGATGCACAGAGAGCGGGGAGTGCTGGGCTGGAGGGAGGAGGGCACAAGAGACAGAACAGGAAGGCAGGAGAAAAGGGGAGAGGGAATCACAGAAAGCAGCAGGAGCTGCAGGGAGAGAGAGGAGGAGGTGCCTTTTATGTACCCCTCGAGCACCCCCAGGAACCTGGGCTGATTAACCCCAGCTTCTCAGGGAGCTTCCTGTGTCCTGCTGCTTCCCTGAACCCACTTGAGGAGAACAGACCGTCAACTGAAGTAGTAGGAGCCAGTTAGGTCATTAAGACTCTGTTATCTTCCCTCGCTCAGGCCCTGCTACCAGCCTGCTTATTTGTCCTCTTCAATTGAGTGTTGAGAGCCACTATCGCTGGCCCAGAACAGCAGCCATGAGTGAAAGAAGAAAACGCCCCTCGGGGGCAGCATTCAGAAGAAGAAAGAAAGCAAAGGAAGCTTTTCTATCTAAGCAGGAAGGAGCTCTCCTGAGATACATAGACACAAATGTTCACAGTGAGCCTTCCGGCCCCAGGGAGGATGTGGGTGATGAGGAGATGCCTGATCTTCCAGTTAGTCAGAGTGCAGGTGACCTGGCAGCTCCTGCAGCATCCATATCTCCATCTCAAATGGATGTAACCATGCACATTCCTGAAGAAAAGTGTAGCTCAGAGAAGGGTGGGGTGGAGGCGCAAGAAACAGCGGCTGCTGAGTTTAGTTCCTTAAGTCTAGATGATCCAGGACTCTGGACCCACTTGAGCAGTAGCCTGAGGGACTTCCTTGTACTGCATGGGCCACAGCAAGTGAAAAACTTCATGTTCCCCAAAGACAATGAAAATAGAAGCTTCCATCCAACACATTACTGGCATGAAATCCCCAATGGTGACAAAGTGGAGAGGCCATGGCTTATGTACACAAAAACCCAGATGCTGCATACTGTTTTTGTTGCCAACTCTTCCAGTCTAATGTTCCAGCCACACTGGGTTCTACAGGAACAAAGGACTGGAAAAATCAGGCTGGAAATCTGGCATGCCATGAGAAGGCAGGAAATCACCAGAGAGCATTCCATAGGTGGAAAGAGCTTGAGATGAGACTAAGGTTAAAGGCCACCATAGATGATCAGCATCAAGAGAAGATTGCATCAGAGTCTCTTTACTGACAAAATGTTCTGAAAAGGCTCATTGCCATTGTGAGAATGCTCACGACCCAAAACCTAGCACTGCGTGGCACTTCAGATCAGCTGTATGTGCCGAACAGTGGAAACTTCCTTAAAATTGTGGAGCTGATGGCTGAGTTTGATGCTGGACTTCAGGAGCATCTAAGAAGAGTCACCACCCAAGAAATGTACACACACCACTACCTTGGAAAAACAATTCAAAATGAGATCATACAGTTACTGGCAACAAAAGTCACACAGAAGATTGTGGCAGATCTGAAGTCAGCAAGATATTCCTCTGTTATTCTGGACTGCACACCTGACATCAGCCATACAGAACAAATGACTTTAATGGTGCGTTTTGTAACAACAACAGAACCTAGTGAAAGTGTCCCTGCAATGGTGACGGTCAGAGAGCATTTTCTAGAATTTATTGACATTGATGATACTACAGGAGCTTTGCTTCTTAAATGTGCTTCTTAAAAAGCTGGAAGATACAGGAATTGCGATAGCTGACATGAGAGGTCAGGGCTACGATAATGGTGCCAACATGAGAGGCAAGAACAGAGGAGAGCAGACACGGATCCAAGAGTTAAACCCTCGAGCTTTTTTGTCCCATGCAGTTCTCATTCATTGAACTCGGTGGTCAGTGATGCAGCATCAGCGTCTAGTGAGGCTTGCTGAATTTTTAAATGTAATTCAAAGCATCTATGTATTTTTCTCTGCATCAACTCATCGATGGCAAATTTTGAAGCAACATCTGGGAACATCCTCTCTGACACTGAAACCACTGAGTGCCACATGATGGGAAAGTCGAGTGGAGGCGATAAAGCCTATCAAACACCAACTTGGGAAGATAGATGATGCCACCATTGCCATTATGGAGCATAAGGCTATGACAGGAACTGTTCATGGGAGAACAGGGGCAGAGGGAAATGGAATCACCAGAAACATACATAACTTCAAATTTCTGTGTGGCTTAGTGTTGTGGCATGACATACGGTTTGAAATAAATGTTGTAAGCAAGAGACTCCAAGGTGTTGACCTTGATATATCTGGAGCAATGGAACATCTGGACAAAGCAAAGTCATACCTACAGTCTT